ATCACGTCTAAAATTCCAATTGATTTTGAAAACTTTACAACATTTGTTATAAGCAATTGTTGGAGTCATTCTACTGGCACCACTTGTTTCCTAAAAATCGTTTAGGACATTCCCAAAATTTCGGACACCTGCAATTCTCGTTGGGGCCCCGCTTTTAGATTTCATTATTTTTTTCTATTTTTCAACTTTAAAGATCAATGAAAAATAGTTTCAGGACCAAAAAAAGGATAAAATCACATCCAAAGGTCTTGCAGCATTTTTGTTAATTCACACGCAAAACATTTTCAAAAACTAAAAGTTCAAATTTTTTCACATAAACTGTGAGTTATAACCCACATTTTCCAATCGATTTGGAGCACTTTTACAAGATTCATTATAATCCAAAGTTTGAGTCATTCTAGTCGCACAACATGTTTTCTAAATTTAATTTTGGACATTCCAAAGATTTTTGGCACTTGCAAATCCCTTTGAAGGCCTCGCTTTAAGTTTATATTATATTTCTATTTTTCAAGTTTAAAAATAAATAAAAAATAGTTTTGGAACCTAATAAGCGGTCAGATCACGTCCAAAGGTCTTGCAATATTTTGCTCAACTCCCACTCAAAGTATTTTCTAAAGCTAAAATTTCAAATTTTTTTCACAAAAACTATGAGTTAAAATAACCCACAGTTTTCCAATCGATTTTGAAAACTCTTACAACATTCGTTACAAGCCAATGTTAGAGTCATTCTACTGCCACCACATGTTTCCTAAAATTAGTTTGGGACATTCCCAATATTTCGGACACCTACAATTCTTGTTGGGGGCCCCACTATTAATTTCATTATTTTTTCAAAATTTCAACTTTAAAAATGAATGAAAAACAGTTTCATGACCTAATAAAGGATAACATCACATCAAAGGTCTTGCAGTATTTTCGTTAATTCCCACACAATATTTAAAAAAACTAAAAATTTAAATGTTTTCACAAAAACTGTGAGTTATAACCCACGTTTTCCAATTGATTTTGAGAACTTTTACAAGATTCATTATAAGCTAAAATTTGAGTTATTCTACTCGCACAACATGTTTTCTAAATTTAATTTCGGACATTCCAAAGAATTTTGACACCTATAAATCCTTTGAAGGCCTCGCTTTTAGTTTATACTATTTTTCTATTTTTCAACTTTAAAAATCAATAATAAATAGTTTCGGAGCCTAATAAGCAGTAAGGTCACGTCCAAAGGTCTTGCAATATTTTGTTCAACTCCCACTCAAAATATTTCCTAAAGCTAAAATTTTAATTTTTTCACAAAAACTGTGAGTTATAACCCACAGTTTTCCAATCGATTTTGGAAACTTTTACAACATTCGTTATAAGCAATTGTTGGAGTCATTCTACTAGCCTAAAATTAGTTTAGGACATTCCCAAGATTTCGGACACCTACAATTCTCGTTGGGGGCCCCGCTATTAGATTTCATTATTTTTTCAATTTTCAACTTCAAAAATCAATGAAAAATAGTTTCATGACCTAATAAAGGATAAAATCACATCAAAGGTCTTGCAGCATTTTTGTTAATTCCCACGCAAAATATTTCCAAAAAGTAAAAATTTAATTTTTTGACAATAACTATGAGTTATAACCGACGTTTTCCAATCGATTTTGAGAACTTTTATAAGATTCATTATAACCAAAATTTGAGTCATTATTATCGCACAACATGTTTTGCTAAATTTAATTTTGGACATTCCAAAGAATTTTGACACCTACAAATCCCTTTGAATGCCTCGCTTTTAGTTTATACTATTTTTCTATTTTTCAACTTTAAAAATCAATAAAAAATAGTTTCGGAACCTAATAAGCGGTAAGATCACGTCCAAAGGTCTTGCAATATTTTGCTCAACTCACACTCAAAATATTTCCTAAAGCTAAAATTTCAATTTTTTTCACAAAAACTGTGAGTTATAATGACCCACAGTTTTCCAATCGATTTTGAAAACTTTTACAACATTCGTTATAAGCCAATGTTAGAGTCATTCTATTGGCACCACATGTTTCCTAAAATTAGTTTACGACATTCCCAAGATTTTGGACACCTACAATTCTCGTTGGGGCCCCCGTTATTAGATTTCATTATTTTTTTCAATTTTTCAACTTTAAAAATCAATGAAAAATAATTTCATGGCCTAATAAAGGATAAAATCACATCCAATGACCTTGCAGCATTTTTGTTAATTCCCACGCAAAATATTTTCAAAAACTAAAAATTTGAATTTTTTCACAAAAACTGTGAGTTATAACCCACATTTTCCAATCGATTTTAAGAACTTTTACAAGATTCATTATAAGCCAAAATTTGAGTCATTCTAGTCGCACAACTTGTTTTCTAAATTTAATTTTGGACATTCCAAAGAATTTTGATGCCTACAAATCCCTTTGAAGGCCTCGCTTTTAGTTTATACTATTTTCTATTTTTCAACTTTATAAATCAATAATAAATAGTTTTGAAACCTAATAAGCAGTAAGATCACGTCCAAAGATCTTGCAATATATTGCTCGACTCCCACTCAAAATATTTCCTAAAGCTAAAATTTCAATTTTTTCACTAAAGCTGTGGCACCACAAGTTTCCTAAAATTAGTTTAGGACATTCCCAAAATTTCGGACACCTACAATTCTCTTTAGGGGCCCCGCTATTAAATTTCATTATTTTTTTATTTTTCAACTTTAAAAATCAATGATAAATAGTTTCAGGACCCAATAATGGATAAAATCACATCCAAAGGTCTTGCATCATTTTCGTTAATTCTCACGCAAAATATTTCTAAAAACTAAAAATTTAATTTTTTTCCCCAAAAGGTGTGAGTTATAACCCACGTTTTCCAATCGATTTTGAGAACTTTTATAACATTTGTTATAAACCAAAAATTGTGTCATTCTAGTCACACAACTTGTTTTCTAAATTTAATTTAGGGCATTCCAAAAATTTTTGACACCTACAAATCTCTTTGGGGGCCTCGCTTTTAATTTATATTATTTTTCTATTTTTTAACTTTAAGAATTAATAAAAATTAGTTCGGATCCTAATAAGCGGTAGGATCACGTCCAAAGGTCTTGCAATATTTTGCTCAACTTTGACGGAAAATATTTCCTAATGCAAAAAATTTTATTTTTTTCTCAAAAACTTTGAGTTATATATAACCCACAATTTTCCAATTGATTTTGAAAACTTTTACAACATTCGTTATAAGCCAAAGTTAGAGTCTTCTACTTGCACGACATGTTTCTTAAAATTAATTTAGTACATTCCCAAGATTTCAAACACCTACTATTCTCTTTCGGGCCCCGCTATTTGTTTTCGTTAATTTTTCTCTTTTTCAATTTTAAAAATCAATGAAAAATAGTTGCAACATTTTCGTTAATTTCCAAGCAAAATATTTCATAAACTAAAAATTTGAACTTTTTTTCACAAAAACTGTGAGGTATAACACACGTTTTCCTATCGATTTTGAGAACTTTTATAAGATTATTTATAAGCAAAAATTTGAGTCACTCTAGTCGCACCACTTATTTTCTAAATTTAATTTAGGACATTCCAACGATTTTCGACACCTACAAATCTCTTTGGGGGCCTCGCTATTAGTTTATATTATTTTTCTATTTTTCAACTTTAAAAATCAATAAAAATAGTTTCGGGATCTTATAAATTGTAGGATCACGTCCACATGTCTTGTAATATTTTCCTTATCTCCGATACAAAATATTTCCTAGAACTAAAAATTTCAATTTTTTCACAAAAACTGTGAGTTATAACCCACATTTTCTAATCGATTTTGGGAACTTTTATAAGATTCATTATAAGCCTTAATTTGAGTCATTCTAGTATTAATGTAGAACATTCCAAAGATTTTTGACACCTATAAATCTCTTTGGGCTCGCTATTAGTTTATATATTTATTTTATTTTTTTACTTTAAAAATGAATAAAAAATAGTTCTGAGACATAGTAAACAGTAGGATCACTTCCGAAGGTCTTGGGGCATTTTCATTAACTCATACACAAAGTATTACCCAAGACTAAAAATTTCAACTTTTTCACAACAACTGTGAGTTATAACCCATGTTTTCCAATGATTTTTGAGGATTCTTACAAGATTCAATGTAACCCAAAATTTGAGTAATTCTAGTCGCACCACACGTTTAATAAATTTAACTTAGGACATTCCCAAGATTTTCTAAACCTACAAATCTCTTTGATGACCCCACTACTAGTTTAGATTATTTTTTCTATTTTTCAACTTTAAAAATCAATAAAAAATAGTTTCGGGTCCTAATAAATGTTATGATCACATCCAAAAGTTTTGCAAAATTTTCCTTAATTCCCACGCAAAATATTTCCAAAAGTCATGCTTGGTGGTTTGAAAAACGAGGCAAGCTCCACTCACAAAAATGGGGTTGGCTTTTGGCATAAAAACGAGACGGACTATATGCACGCAGAACGAGGCGAATCCCATTTTGACATTGCTCTAGTCCTCACTACTATATCTTTCACTTAGTTTTTTAGTTTTTGGCTCAAATATTCTACTAAATATACTTTTATTGCTCAAAAAACTGTAAAATCGATTCCAAATGCCATATAATATTTTCTTTAATACTCACGAAAAATATTTGGCTAAAATAAAAAATTTGCATTTTTTCACAAAAAATGTAGGTTATATAGCTCAAAGATTTTTTTTGAAAAAATTGAAATTTTTAGTTTTGGGAAATTTTTTGTAGGGAGCTAAGGAAAATGTTGACGAGAATAACTCAAGTTTTGACTTATAATAAATATCTTAAAATTTTCGAAAATCGATTTGAAACGTAGGTTATAACTCACAATTTTTATGAAAAAATTACAATTTTTAGTTTGATGAAAAATTTTGCATGGTAGCTAAACAAAATGTTGTAAGACCCTTGAATAAAATCCTAACATTATTAGGTCTGAAACTATTTTTATTGATTTTTAAAGTTGAAAAATAGAAAGAAAGAAAAAATACTATACACCAATAGAGTGAAGAATCAATTGATTTGCTTGTCTGGTAATTCAACTGGTTTCCTTGGCTGGGTATATGCTTCCCTGAATCAGAAGCTCGGGGTCGAATGTCGATAGTCTCACTCTCCTAGTCTCTCTCCGCGTGGCCTACTCGAGCTAAGCAGAATAAGAGACTTGCTGCTGTTATTGTTCGTTCGAGCAGTAGTAGAGCAATGAGAAATCACAGACCGGCGTCGAGCAGCAACAATCTCAACCGGCGGCCCACTATTCTCTACCTGATTTGCTCCGTCGCCTTCTTCTCTCTTCTCCTTTTCGCCATCCAATCCTCTTTATTCGCAGGTCCTCCCTCGCTCACTCACGTTCATATCTTTTCCTTTAAATCAAAACTAAACACGATGTTTCACTCATAATTCAATTTCTTTATCTTTAATTATATGTATCCAGGTAATCAGAAATTAGATCTCCACACCCAACATGATGTTCGGGTTTTATCGGAATTTCAGTCTACTGTGAAGCAATGCGTGGTTAGTTTCTTAATTTTCACCGGATCTGCCTTTGTTAATCCATTGTTTAAATTTAAATCTTGTCATTTAAATCACTAATTCAAGTTGTCGATTCAGTTCAATTTTGTATATTTTTGCGTTATACTGATCCAAGAAATCTGTTTTTGTTCCTTTCTTTCTTCATTTTTCTGTAATTTTTGTGTGTTTTAGTGTTGGGTATGAATTCTTACAAAGGTTAAGGTAAATGTAGGCAAACAGAGGGCTTGGTCTGACTGCACACATTATTGACCATTGCAATCTGACTCTTAAGTTCCCGGAAGGAACTAACAGCACCTGGGTCCGTCGACTACTCTTTGCCTTGTCACCACAATTTCATCTTGAATTTTGAATTTTGATACTAGTCTAATCTCCAATTGCTATTTACATGAGACTCGAATTGCAGTATAATGAGCAATTTAAAAAGTTTGAAGCACTCGAATACCCCTACAATGTTTGTGAGGCACTTCTTTTGTGGGAGCAGGTTTGTCTCTCTTCTATCATCTGTCTAAGTGTAATTAACTCCTTAAGCCGATTCTTCAAACTGATGCTTTTAAGGATGGATGCAGTACCGGAACATGACGACAGTATTGACAAGGGAGTATCTAGATGTTCGGCCTAAAGGTTGGGAGGAGTATGCACCACAAAGGATCGCACAATTGTACGTTTGTCTACACACTATATCTTCCAAACCTGTGCTTGATTTCTGCCAATAGATTATAGCATGCAAATGCCTACGAACATCAAGTCCATCTGTTTACCTCTGTATTTGTTTGGTTGTAGGGGAACTAAGAAATGCTACAATAAGACACTTTGTGAGGAACATCTTAATGTGTTACTACCAGCAAAGCCACCTTTTCATCCTCAGCAATTTCGCACATGTGCAGTTGTTGGAAATTCAGGAGATCTTTTGAAGACGGAGTTTGGAAAAGAGATTGATAGTCATGATGCTGTTATAAGGGACAATGAGGCTCCTGTTAATGAGGTAAAATAGCATGTTTGTTTCCTATCATCGGTGAATATATGGATTGATTTTTTCATGACAGACAGCCATTGGTTCTTCTGTGGTTCTAGTTGGGAAACACAGCCTCTTAAGTATATTGTTATTTTTCAGTTTTACTCCTTCTATAGGCAACAGATTCCTATGGAATAATAGGCAGTAATTTAGTTGATAAAACTCTCAATTAGTCCTTCATATGTGTAGAAATATGCCAAGTATGTTGGTATGAAGAGGGATTTTCGCCTTGTTGTAAGGGGTGCTGCTCGAAACATGGTTGCCATTCTAAATGGGTCTGGTATGCTTCTAAGTAATTTGTGTGTTTTAATTTTTATTTCTTACTTCTGTGTGGCAGAGTTAATTTCTGTTTGTTGTATATGTGAAATCCTAAATCTTCATCGCTCTTCAGAAAATTTACTTGAAGTATGTTTCCATGTTTGCAACTTTCCCTTTCTTGTGCAGCTGATGAGGTACTTATAATCAAAAGTGTTACGCACAAAGACTTTAATGCAATGATCAAGGTGAAGATTGCATCTAATGAGGCCAATATATATGTTCTATCTGAGTAGATAGTTAACACACTTCGTTTTCCGAGACTTGACTAACATTTTGGATCCTAACATATTGCAGAGTATTACAAATCCAGTTTACCTTTTCCAAGGTATTGTGCTCCGCCGAGGTGCCAAAGGAACCGGAATGAAATCAGTAGAACTAGCACTATCTATGTGCGACATTGTTGACATATATGGTTTCACTGTTGATCCTGGCTATACTGAATGGTTTGTTTCGTTTGGCTTTTACTTGATATGCTGTTGTTATTTATTTGCTGGAATCATTATTAGCAAGCAAGGAATTATATTCCTGCCTTTATCATCAGTGCAATTCAGGTGTGACATTGTTTGTCTGTCGTCCTTTGGCTGACTAGTTTGTGCTTCATTGTAGGACACGTTACTTCTCTGCACCTAGGAAAGGGCACAATCCACTTCAAGGAAGGGCATACTACCAGCTCCTAGAGTGCCTTGGCGTAAGAACATAAACTTTTCTTATTTATTAGAATGTATGGCAGTTATAGGCTCATGCCTGAATTTTTATCCCCAAACGATTCAACTTTTACTATTTTTATATGTCAGGTTGTCCGAATCCATTCTCCCATGAGATCTAAGAGGAAGCAAGACTGGTCAGATGTGCCAAGTCGGGAAATGATAGGCAGAGCTCATGCAGCTGCCTTGAGATTAAAGAGGGGTGAGGCTGGTGACTTGGGACAGTTTGGTAGTTGCAAGGTGTCGGGCAACGTGGACGCTGACAAAGTTGGTCCTGTCTCAGGCTCTCCAGACATGAGTGATAAAAGAAAGTTTTCAAATTACAATAAATGGGAAGTCTTGCCTTTCAAGAGTCTGAGGAAGGAGGCGCAGGACCACTATATTCAAATGGAAGGTGTTTCTCTTTACAAAATGGATGGCAATAAGTTGGATGACCTTGTATGCGTGAGGCATTCCTTAAAATCAGATGTTTAGCCAAGAAATATCCTGTGTTTGATTCTTTATGGACTTAATTTGGATGGTTTAGAGCAGACCGAGCCGTGTATTCCTGGTTTCTCCTTGACTTGTGGAATGTTCAGTGAGATGGTCTTCTTCCCGGTGGATTACAGAACTCGGCTTTTTCCACTTCTCTCGTTATGCTTGGATGAGTGGTCATGACATGGGAGGAATCTCAAGCTGCCTTAAGCAGTGGGAAAGACATCGCCAGCGATACACTGATCGAATGCTCATATTTTTGTGGCTACATTCGTAGAGATTTTTGGAAGTAGAAAGATGTATGGAAATACTGATACACACGCATGTATGGTGGCTTAATTAATGTTTGTTTGTTATAGATTCTTTTTAGTACTTACTGCATAGGCATTCATTATCCAACGGAAGCATGTAAACTGATTTAAGTGACATTTTGTTTTATTTGAGGAAATGTCAGCGACATTTTGTGTAGATGTTATATTTCTCACTTTTAAGTACCAATTAAGCTTTTCTTTTGGGTTGTATGGTTGTTTCGTTGTTTTTTTTTTTTTTTTTTGTGGGTAAAGGGGTTACTTTATTATTAAAATACAAAAGAAGTGTAGAACAAAAATCAAAATACATAAATTACGGGAGCAAAAGATGGACCTTCGTAGTAACCCAAGAGTCCAAAACGTAGTTTGAAGCCCAAACCAGAAACATACAAACAGATCCTAACAGCTTCCTCCACCCGCTGCGGCCGAAAGCGCCGCAACAGCACAACAAGCACGAGCCTCCACAGCCAACATTTGCCAGGAGCCCACCCAAATGGTTAAAGCAGCTGATATATTGCATACGATACGATATGACAACATTTAGATCGTCAAATGCGCTCCTCAAAGTTAAAACTCCAACTCCAAGACCAAGAGTCCCCGACTCCCCAAAACCATTCCCTAATCCCAACCTCAACGCCCAAAACTCCGTTGATGCCCGTCTCATCAAGACGGGCTTCGATGCCCACACATGCCGGTCCAATTTTCTGGTCAATAACTTCCTAAATCGAGGTGAATTGTCTCGAGCACGTCAACTGTTCGACCAAATGCCTCACAAAAACACCGTCTCCACAAACATGATGATTTCCTGTTACGTCAACTCCGGCAATCTTTCCAAGGCCAGAGAGCTGCTTGACACCATGGTTGACCGTACAGCGGTAACGTGGACCATACTAATAGGTGGGTTTTCCCAAGCTAATCGATACCAGGAGGCATTTAAACTTTACGCCGACATGCACAGGTGGGGAACCAAGCCGGATTATGTGACTTTTGCTACTCTCCTGTCCGGATGCAGCGACATGGGAACCACCGAACAAGTAGTTCAAGTTCATTCACATGTCCTTAAGTTGGGATATGCTTCCACCCTCATGGTCTGCAATTCCTTGATTGATTCCTACTGCAAATCGCGTCGCCTGGATTTAGCTTGTCGACTCTTCAAGGAAATGCCCGAGAGAGATAATGTTACGTTCAATGCATTGATAACAGGATACTCAAAAGATAATTTGAATGAAGAGGCTGTAAACCTTTTTGCTCAAATGCAAAACTTGGGTCACAAGCCTTCGGAGTTCACTTTCGCAGCAGTACTTTGTGCCGGTATTAATTTAGACGACATAACCTTTGGGCAGCAGGTTCACGGTTTTGTGGTGAAGACTAATTTTGTTTGGAACGTGTTCGTGGGGAATGCATTGCTCGATTTCTACTCAAAGCATGAGTCGTCGGTTGAAGCAAGGAAACTTTTCAATGAGATGCCAGAGTTGGATGGCATTTCTTACAATGTAATCATCACATCTCATGTGTGGGATGGGCAATTTAAAGCGTCTCTTGATCTTTTTCGTGAATTACAGTTAACTAAACATGACAGGAAGAAATTTCCTTTTCCAACCATGTTGAGCATCGCATCAAATACGCTGAACTTAAACATGGGTCGGCAGATCCATTCCCAGGCGATTATAGTAACAGCTGATTCAGAAATTCAGGTTGGAAATTCGTTGGTGGACATGTATGCCAAATGTGGCAGATTTGAGGAAGCCAAAAGGATATTCACAACTCTAGCTGACAGAAGTGCAGTTCCATGGACTGCAATGATATCCGGATATGTGCAAAACGGGGTCCATGAGGAAGGCTTGGAACTGTTCAATGAGATGCGCAGAGAAAATGTTAGTCCGGACCAGGCTACTTTTTCTAGCATCTTAAGAGCCTCTGCGAGTTTAGCTTCCCTCTCGCTGGGAAAGCAGTTACACTCATCTGTGATCAAATTAGGATTCACATCCAATGTTTTTCCTGCAAGCGCACTCCTAGATATGTATGCAAAATGTGGTTCTATGAAAGACGCACTTCAAATTTTTCAAGAGATGCCCAAGAGGAATCGGGTCTGCTGGAATGCTCTGATCTCAGCTTATGCACTAAATGGGGATGGCGAAGGCACTCTTAGATCATTCGAACAGATGGTTCAGTCTGGTTTCGAACCAGATTCAGTGAGCTTCCTAAGCGTTTTAACTGCTTGTAGCCACTGCGGGCTTGTTGACGAAGGACTACAGTACTTCGACTCCTTAACTTGCAACAGTAAGATTGTTCCAAGGAGAGAGCACTATGCATCAATGGTTGATTTGTTGTGTCGAAGTGGGAGGTTCAGTGAAGCAGAGAAATTGATGGCTGAAATGCCATTTGAGCCCGATGAGATTATGTGGTCATCAGTTCTAAACTCATGTAAAATTCATAAGAACCAAGAATTGGCAGAGAGAGCAGCAGACCGACTTTTCAAAATGGAAAAGCTTAGGGATGCAGGTGCTTATGTCAGCATGTCAAATATCTATGCAGCAACAGGTCAATGGGAGAGTGTTGTCAAGGTGATGAAGGCGATGAGGGAGAGAGGAATCAGAAAGGTTACAGCGTATAGTTGGGTGGAAATCAATCACAAAACTCACGTGTTTACAGTGAATGACAAGAGCCACCCACAGAGTGCGAAGATTATGAACAAGATTGACACGTTGGCGAAGGAGATGGAAAAGGAAGGATACAAGCCGGATATAAGCTGTGCCCTGCACAACGAGGATGAGGAAATAAAAGTGGAGTCTCTGAAATATCACAGTGAACGCTTAGCAATTGCTTTTGCATTGATCAGTACACCGGAAGGATCACCGATAGTGGTGATGAAGAACTTACGAGCTTGCACGGACTGCCATGCCGCAATCAAGGTGATCACAAAGATTGTTGGGAGGGAAATAATAGTTAGAGACTCAAGCAGGTTCCATCATTTTAGAGATGGGCTTTGCTCTTGTGGAGACTTCTGGTGACATTTCCCCGATCCTTGGGACGGGATTTCAAAACCATAATAACCCTTGCTCATTCTTTATTTCACCAAAAATATAATTATTTCCTAGTTAATTCCTTGCAACACAAGCATTACATTATCCAACATGATACAATATCGGTGGCGATACCACGTCTTCAATTCTAAACTGACAGCCCAAGGGGCAGATATTTTCTCCAGAAATGGTAGAACTAATGACTAAAGCTGAAAATCATATGGTGTGTAAACTAACGGTGCATTTTCAAAGAATCGAAGAATCGAATCTCCTTCAATGTTGCTCTGATACTAAGACCGAACCATTCTCCGATCCACATTCTACTTCAAAGAGATCGTTTTCAAAAAAAGCCTGGTGGAGAGCCCTAACGCACTGCTCTGCTTCATCGTCATTTACAACCAAAGAGATATTAACCTGGCCAGTGGTAATACGTAAATGGTAAGTTCAACTACGGAAATGATCAAATCAAATTTATAAACATTTCATAGGGAATCAACTGTAAGCACCCTATTCGTTCATGAATCATGCCTAGTCGAAAATGAACTGGGATTTAGGAGAGACAGATAAAAGGGCATCAAAAATTTGGCTTCACCGCTACAATGAAAAGAGAGAGAACTAGTGTTGTTGGGAGATACCTTGGATGCACCCTGAGAGATCATTTGAACATTGACTCCAATGGTTCGAAGAACCTGAAATGCCTGCCACAAGCGACCAAAAATGTGAATACTAAAATCAAATATACATGATCAAAGAGATGGCTAATGTTGGATCAAGTTGCAGTCGACCAAAGAACAAAAGCAAATTAGGGGACATTCTTTAACTACTTAGCAAAACACAATACATTACCTTCTCTAGTATCAGTGATGACCTCTGCACATTTCCAATGAGAGATATAATTGATCTGTGCTGTAGAAGATTGACAACAGCAATTTTCCCAAGTTCTTCCGCGACATGGTCAAGTTCCTGCAAGGAAGATACGGTATTCAATGAGAACTTATATAAGAATTGCGAGCGAAAATATGTAGTGTGCACGTGATTGGCTACCATTTTTCCATACCATGCACCGACAAGAACGAACATGCATAAAATGAAAAATCATAACAAAACATACGCGGACAATTTAATAAAGCTTAGATGCATCTGTCAAGTAAATTCCAGAAAATCATAACCAGTCAGAGGAAAAGGAAGATGAGATCATACACTTGCCTGCCAAATAAGCTCTCTGCTCCAAAGCTTTGAGGGATCCAGTGTCAAGGAAATACTAACTTCACTGGTAGCAACAACATCAACTGATATGCCCAAATCTTCGAAAGTTGTAAATACCTACATGGAAAATATTACAAATATAAGCCACGAAGTTATCAAGAGGACAACCAACAGAAAAAAGGTAATTTGTTTTCTCACCTTAGCAAGAAATCCATATTGACCCAGCATGCGAGTGCTAACAATATCCAACATAGTCACATTCCTTTTCAAAACGATGCTGGTTAATACAGCCTGCAATTGAGACAAAGAAAACTCAATGAAGTTGGAAGCATTTTGACAGCGGAGTTCAATTTTCCAGCAGACTACTTTTACAAACCTTGCTCATATCTCTTGCATGGGTGATAACAGTACCGGGAGCATTAGGGTTGTATGAATTTTTAACCCTCACTGGAATATCAGCCTCTCTGGCTGGTCTCATGGACTGTGGATGCAAGACCTGCAAGAAGGCAAGAAAAATGATTAAATCATGTTTTCTTTTTTTCTTGTTGAACAAAAACAATTGTAACTAAAATACAGGTGGTCCAAAGCACCTCAAACCATTAGAAGAGGAAAACTGAGTATTTAAAGTCAGAAAAAAACTGTATTAAATAAGTCAGAAACCATTGCGTCTAATATTGGCACTTAATAAGAGAAGTGTTGCGAATATTTATGAATATTTAGCATCATTATTGATACCTGAGCACCAAAATATGCAAGTTCGGCAGCCTCTTCAAATGTCAAATAAGGTACAGGTTCTGCACGCTGATATATGTTAGGATCACATGTCAAAACGCCATCAACATCCTTCCACACCTGTACGACATTGAGAAATAGGTCATATTTTGCTATTTTTAGAACTAGGAAATTGGGCAAAAAAAGTGAAATATTATTTGAACTCACCTGAATTTCTCGTAACCCCAATGCTTTACCAATGGTTGTAGCTGTCAAATCACTACCACCTCTACCCAGCGTAGTCACAGCACATGATCTCCATCCCTGTAACCAGAAAAACAGTGTCAATAGTGTTAATGGGTGAAATTTTCAAAAACTGAAGATACGTTGAAGTTAGCCAGAAGGGACACCTTTCCAAGAAAACCAGTAACAACTGGAATAGCAGGATCACATATCCAATCACCATGTAACCTCTTTGCGACAGCTGGATAAGTTGCCTCCAAAATGTCCGCATTTGTGAAGTCATCTGTGGTTATAAACCCAATTTCAAAGGCATCATACTGCCAAAACAACAAACACACAATCATATGAATTTTCTATCAGCAATAATGGTGCTAACAAACAATTAGGAATTCTTCAGAAATTACAGCAGGAAATTTGAGAGCACTTTTCACCATTAAATTAAATTGGAAAAGAACATACTTGGCGGGCTTTAACGCCAATCTTATTCAGATAGGCAACAAAAAGCCGCGTGGACATGCATTCCCCAAATGAAACCAGATAGTCTTTGGTTCGTAAAGTCAACTCTTTCATCATAGCAATTCCCTTCAGAAGTTGTTCCAGTTCTTTGAGGTGTGCTGCAATTCAGGGATAACGGGTATAGCCAAAAAAAACAGTAGGATTACAATGAACATTGGTATACAAAGCCACCTTTAGGCTGCTTCATATTTTGAACTTGCTGATATACAAAACAAAGATCATAATTTGCTTTATAAAAAAAAAGGTGAACTGTAAGTGCGGGTAAGAAAAGAAACTCACATGAAATGATGGAGCTGTCCACTCCAAGTTCTTCCACAGTCCTATTCAGAATAGGGTGATGCACAATGAGAAAAAAATCGAAAATTGAATTATTTTTCCTAAAAAATTTGTAGAAGAAAGAAAAATATGTCACTGTTCTCACCTGAGATGTAATTCTTTTATGAAGCTCAACTCATCAATCATAGATACATTGGTAACACCGCAAGTGACGGCCTTTTCTCCTGCCTACTCATGAGAAACCAATCTGACCGTAAGTTGTTAATGGTAAGAAATGAAGGGATAAAAAGTTGGATGAATTATCAAGTAATGTTCATATAAAGTGGTACCAGTAGGAGTTTGTTAGTTGTCTTTCCCATGGCAGAAAGAACAATGACAGGCCTCTCTTGTGGGAAGCTGAGTACAAGATCAGCAACCTCCCTCATTCTCTCTGCAGAAGCCACCGACGAGCCACCAAACTTCATAACGCACGTCAATTGTTTCTCATTCTCGCCAGGGCTTTGATTGTCAGTCCGTTTCTTTTCAAGAACATCTGCAATCCCTCCCTCGCAACTGACTCTCAAAACCCTGCTCGTACAAGAAAAGTCTTTCGCACTTGCATAGAAACCATTGCTGGAAGCGACACAAGTTGCAAAACCAAGACTTTGTGACAAAAGTGGTTGATTGAATTGCAAAGATCTTTCTGAGGATGCAGGGCACAGAGTTTTAACTCCGGAAAAATGCAAGGCGGTCACCATTCTAAAGATAAGTTATTCCGACTAATGATGTGAACGGAGTGTCTGAAACAGTTGATTGTTATGGCGCACAGAGTGAGAAACTCAAGATCCCAACACAGAACCGGTTTATCGAATTTCGAACTTGAGCAGCAGCTCAATCTGCAAAATTCCATAGCTTGATTGAATAATTTCTGAAGTAAACAAACAGCTAAAAGGACATAAAGCAGATAATTTCAAAATCTTAGTTTTGTTTGAAGTAAAACGGAGAGAAGCAATTAATTCATTGGAAAAATAACGAAAGGGATTTAAAATTTTTGAATTTTTAAGGATAATGATAAAATAAAAAGTAAAATTAATAATTTTTAATTTAAAAATATAATTTTTCGTTAAAATGAATAATCTTTTCATTAAAATTCCCTAAATTCATTTGCATTGATATTGGAGTGGCGAGGGGACAGCATTCATGTATACATGCACGACACACAACACAAACAAGACAAAAGTAAGAGAGATTGAAAAGTACCTTGAGAAGATAGAGAAATCAAAAAGATGAGACCTAACCAAACGTAGAGCCTCCAACAACGGAACGGCGCGGCGGAAACGGAATGCAGAGAGAGAGGCGGCAGAGGCTCTGTGGTCCGTCGTTGAAGATTCAGAGCATTGAGAGGGCGAGCTGGCGGCAAAACTCTCTCAATACTCTCAAGGAATGCCGAAGGAATACCCGGAAGACATACAGACAGACACACAAATAAACCAAACCAAACCCAACCCTGGCGGCGCCTCTTCTTTTCGACAGTGTTGTGTTGTTTGTTTTTGACGCAGCACCAAGGTTTTTGACTTACAAGTTCTGAGTCCACCAGAATTTGACAGAAATTTCGTAGGGGGACGCCGCTGACAGAAAAAGTGAGGTTGGCGGTTTAGAAAAGTTGGACCAAACGTGGAGTCCAGAATTATCTGCGTCTCCCATGGCGCGGTTCGCGTGGACACGTATTGACTCAGTTAGTACTGTGGGCCTCCATTCAGACTGTTTCAACAATTACTTCCTTTGATTTGTCAAACAACGTTTTGGCACCGATTGCAAAGAAGCTTTTCTTTCTTAAGGTCCAAATTGCGTCCCAAGTTTAAACCTCGCTCTAATCTAACTTAGAGTACTAACATCGCTTGCAATTAAAAACAACTCGCAAACAGACATTGTAGCCTACTCATGCATGCACAAGTAAACACAACAGAGAGGAAATTAATATCAAGAGCTGAAGTTAGTTACTAAAGATAAGAGAGCAGTTTTGCCTGATGATTCAACATAACATAATCCACTACAACAAAACAGATGATTAAAAAAACTAAATCTACGGACATCATCGGCTGACATTCTTCGAGTTAAGCACTATGGGCTCTATCGATGGAACAAAGAGAGGAGAAGGAAGCCGTTGCGCATTTGCAAACTAGCTAGCTGAGTTGAGGGTGCCTGCCTGCCTTCATTTCTCCCAATTGTAAGGCTCCAATTTGTAATGCTCGAGTAACAGTTACATCATCATATCATGAAATCCAGCTGAATCCAAAAGTACTGCTTTTATTTGCTCTGGCAAGAACTGGTTTTCCCTGCATTGCTGTTCAACATACAAGGGATTATATTTTGTGTGTCCCTACTTAACCCAAAAACTTTACTACTGCAAAAGATACAGTAAGAATACCAAAGTTGTATTTCATGACATTCCCGGAAAAAAAGGCTCAGATGCAACCGAAGCAGTTTTTATGCCAATCAAACTTTGTGACCAACCTCAAGTAATCTTTTTGGGATTAAAATCTTTATCTGATAGTCTATCTTCCAAACACAGTAGAATAGAAAGTTGAAGTTCAGAAGCAGCAAACATAGCAAACTCATCTTTCATATCTCCCATAGTAAAATTGAAGATTTTTACACATAGTCAGGATAATACTATATATTAGATCTGGATGTCAAAAGGTAAAGCACCAAAAATTAAAAAGCAGAACAGATAGATATGTGTGTGTGTGTGTGCGTGTGTGTTAATTTGTGTTAATACAATTCACCCTTATGCTTCATATCCAGAAACAGTACACTGTAAAAACAGTCTCAGCAATTCGCTATCCCAAAAAGAAACATACCTCAGCTCGGAACACATCTAAAGCAAACCCATTGAAGCAGCTGATCACAGCCTGCTGGACGTCCAAATCAAGGTTATCCAAGGCCCTCATGGTTGAGAGTAAGAGACCTGGTCTCCGAGAACAGAACATGTGGATATTAACAGTTCGCCCTTCCCTTACCCGAACCTCCACCTGCAAAATACAGTTGACCAAATATTACAAGTTAAAGAAAAATCCTCAATCATACTTTATGCACCTTTTACATGCTTCAAACTACAAAACCAGGTGAATAAAACTTACCTTCGGCTGAGTTTTGGGGCTTAGCAAGGAGCTTGGGCAGAGCTCTTCTTTAACACGGCAGGGAAGGGTGGATGGAGTGGGTGTCAACGGATGAAAACTTGTTGAAGCAGGCAGCAAAGAACCGGGACTCCAGCTCGTTATGGAGGTCATTAATCCTTTGTAGAAGCTCTTTCAAATAATCAATTGCATCCCCTAGTATGGACGCCCTATCCATCTGTTTACAACATGACAGAATACTCATCAGATATTATGACTAACGAGCGAGAAGCCACAAATCACACAGGAAGATAAATCACCCAAACAATCGCCAAACTTCAGGCAATATCAAGAGCCATCAGATCTGTCATGGATTTTCCAAAATATTAACTTCCTTCAAGTAAAACGACCAATTCGATGTAAAACAGCACGGGTACTTCTCTTGTACATCAATACAATGGTATGAATACATTGCTTTCTAAATGGCTTAAATTCACTGTAATTCTTCCACGCAAATTCCGCTGTTAAATTCAGCTAATTCACATACTTATAGTACTAGTTAAAATGAAAAACGAAAGAAACACAATATAATTAGAACAAGAAACTCACATAAACTAACATAAAAAGACGGGGAAAGCACAAAGACTACATCTTCAAAGGAACAAGGCAAAAGTAAATTAATGGAGAACTACGTCTAAGTATACATGGTACAGAAAATGACTACCTTGCTTATCTTGGGTACAACAGACCTAAGCATGTAGAGTCTATCATTGAGCTTCTTCCTCCGCCGCCTCTCCGCCATCAAATTTTTCGCCGGCAAACCCTTCTTCTTGCCCTTCCGGTCTCCTCCCTCTACACCGGTGACAGTGCTGTTGGCATTCGAATTGCTTCCACCATTCTTCGCATTCTCCTCCACCTCCACTTGACTGTACTCATTGAAGTCATCCGAGTCATAATTCAAACCGGACACATCCAGACTCCCTTCCTCCATCTCACCCTCCTCGTTCCTCTTCCTTTTCTTCTCCAAACTCTCCAGTAGTCCCCCGTACCTGGGACCCGAAATCTCCAAATTTCCCAATTTATCACCCCCGTCGCCTACAGAGTTTTGGCGGCGCTTCTGGAAAAGAGTGGGCTGAGCACCCATGGAAGGGAACAGGAGCTTAGCCCGGTTCAGCAGCTGAGCGCCGGCCGAGCCATCGAAGCCTTCGAAGCCAAAGTCGCCGTCGAGTACATTGGCGTTGTCCGTTACCGGAAGCAACCGACTGGCTGGAAACTCGGCGCTCGAACTGAGTTCGGGAGTACCCATCTGAGAATGAGAATTGAGGGCCGTGAAACCCATCAGAACAGAGGAATTGGAAGGCTGATTTCCCTGAAAGGAGCCCAGAAACCCAGCGTCGCAGCCCAGGTCGACGTTGTTATCAAAAGGGTTGGAGCAGACGACGTTGAGGAGAGAGGAGAAGCAGGATTTTGGAGGCAAAAACTGCTGTGGCGGCTGTGAAGGGTCGAGAGAGAAGGCCGGCGACGGAGAACAGGAGGCGGAGGAGTCGATTGGTTGCAGAGGAGCAAGTGTAGTTTCAGAAGCTTGGGTGGAAGAGAAGGCATGGAGGTCTTGAGCTGGGTTGCTGAGAACGTTGTTCATGTACCAGTCACCTTCCAGCATTGATTTGAAGTTTGAAAAAGAAGCTCCCAAGCTCGAGTCTTGGTCGTTTCTTCTGGGCTCTGCCTCGTTGTTGTTGTTGTTGTTGTTGTTGTTGTTGTTGTGGGTGGTGGTGCTGTTTCTGGTCCAAGACGCTGCGTCGTCTTCGTCTCCGCCCATCCAAGCGGCGCCGCTCGACATCGGAAGCATGACTGTGTTTCTTCGCTTGTCAGGCTTTTTGTTAATTTTATTGAAGGTCGTCTGAAGGAGACAAAATAAAAGGATGGGTTCAGTTACAAAGGTTCGGCATAAAACGCAGAAAAGGATGGGAGGGGAACTTTTTGCTCAGCGCTGGGTCATCATTTTTTAGAAGAAACGGAGGGATATAGATTCTCAATGTTTTTTCTCTCTTTATTTTCAGCTGGGAAATGGAAATGGCTTCGTTCAAGTTGGAACGTTACGTTTTGTCTGTGCGTTCGCACGCTGCTGCTTCCTTTTGGTTTGTCGCCTTGTGTTACCTTAGGCGAGTCTGTCTGATTAACATGCGTTACCAAGGTCCCCAAAAGAAAAGAAAAAGCCCAACCCAATTACCTAAAGCGAGACGAGTAATTTTAACGGAAGCCCAATTAGCCAATCAATTTCTGGTTCACGTGGAACACTTCAAGTAATCAACACCAATTCTCTGACTTTTGGATTTTGCGATAGAGAAATATTAGAAAACCGTATTTGCAGCACTGGCTTTGGCTTTTGTCTTTTCGAACTAAAAATTTGCTAGTATTAGTTTATAAACTTAGAAGAATATTGTTCTTTTAAGTATTTTCGTTTTAGATTTTTTGTATCTTACTTGCATCTTATTTTGGAAAAAAGTTTTAAATTAGGTTTTATTAAAAGAATCAGTGATCCATTTTTTGACAAGTTTAATAATGAATTCTCTCGAAATAGTAAAAACTAAATTAAATACATAAAATCTTAACATTACGTGACCGTATGATATTAGAATTACTCAGCAGCTGGCATAGTTTAGAAATAATATTGCATGTTGTGGCTTCCACACACATACCATAAGGTACATGCACCAAGATAATGAAACAACTTTAAGTTGTGTTTTGCCATTTGCGCCATGCAACTTCAAAGTTCAAAAGTTCAAAGTTGAAAGCAAGACTTAACTTGGAATAAATTTTCTAAAAGAGACCCCAAGGTTCTCGTGATTCGTTGCGATTCACCGCACCCACGTACTCCCAGCAATAAATCTCACTATCTACAATTTCCTTTTTCAACTTTGTTTGGGTGTTCAACGTTCATGTGTGTAAGACGAATTAACTTAATTAATTAGAATTCAAACACCTTTAATTAAGTGTTATTGAAATCCAACTTTCCGTTTAGAACAGTCTTAAGTCACAACAACAACATCAACATCATCGCCAATAAAACTAACTAGTCCAGTATGGACTAGTACGTGTACATACATGGCATGCATCATGCATGCAACTCACTACCAAGTCGTGAGATGAGAATTATATCATATATCCACCATGTTCCTACCAAAAATAAAATATCAACCATGCAATGCCAAAATATTAATTGCAATTGTCTCTAACGTACAAATTAATTCAGAATGTAGACAAATATGGAAAAATAAATACAAAATGTTCCAAGTTTTAACTTGGCCGTTTGGCCGACATCAACATGCATACATGTGAAGTCTGAAGATTGAAGAGTACTAACGATCGAAGACCTGTCCAAAGCGGTTGTGTTTTACTACGGGCGTTGTGGTCTCCATATTTTCCGATAGTTTAAATTTTGAAAATTTATCTGAAATATATGATTCATCCACAGATTCCACACCACGAAAAAAGTGCAAGGTTATTCATTTTTTTATTGAAACAGTAGTAATAAGGAAACCAGCTTGCAAGCTCCTGGCGGGTCCATGACAGCTAAAAGATTAGAGACAGGACCATGCATGCAGGCATTTTGTTTACCATTCGTAGTGAATTCACACTCAGCTGTGTGACCTGCGGGACCACTCTTATTAATAATGTATAGTTGCTCGATGTGGATGGCTCCACCTCTTCCTCTGAGCAAATAGAGAAACAACTTGTATTTTACCGCTACATTACATTTTGTGTTAATTACACAACGATATGTTAAAAATGCATTTTGTATAATTGAAATAGAACGTCACATGACAGTTTATTTGTATTATGCAAGTTACTTCTAAGAAAATATATATGACGTTGAGAAGTGAACTCAAACAAAGTACCAACCGAACGCTATATTGACATACTAATCAATAAAAATCCCAAATAAAAAGTCGTGCATCTATCAGCATTTTATTTTATAGAAGCTTAGCCATTCAAGCAATCCGATGACTTAGGATTTTATACATCATTTACTCTATCTTTAACTTATTTTTCTTTTACGAACTTACGTTAATCCCATACGGCCGTTATCTCTTTTCTCTCTCCCTTCGTGTTTAGTTCCTCCCCTTCTATCTCTCTCTTTCTTTACTTCCTCCCACAGATTATTTCTATTCAGTTTCTTTTTCTTTTCAAACAAGAACACTTGTTGACAAATCCACACTGTATTTTATCAATTAGAAACAATTATGAGAATAGTTTACCTGATTGTATTATTTCTCTATGGCCTATGGATACCGTTTCCGACTTCAAACATATGAACTGAAAAATATGTGTAATTAAGAAAACCTTCTGACAATTCTATAACCCATCCCTAAAGCTATAGAATTTCTCCATACGTAGTTCGTAATTCTGAGTTTGAGGGCTTGTGGATTTTGATGGGAAAAAAAGAAAAAAGCACAAAGCATGTCAAAACAACATTTTATGAGAGGATATTCTGAAATGTGAAGTCTCATCGACTCTAAATGTTGGTTCGGCTGAATGGGCTGTTCCCACTAGGGATTCTGAAATCTGGAAGGGCTTCTCGTGAAAGAGGGAGGGAGGAGATCAGGAGAATGGAGGACTGTCACCGTTTAACTTTGGATATACAAATTTATCCTAAAGCTTATGTGGCTTCATTTAAGTTATTGAATTGTTTAGACGGCTATAAGATTATATAAAATGCGGTTAAATGCATAACATCTAAATGCAGGGCCCGAAGATCCAATCAGTAATACTTAGATCAATCACGTGTGTGCATATGGACACACGTATGTACTTACACCATTTTATGGTTCCCCGGGAAACAACTCATCAACCTGGTAATATAGTACATGTAAAATCCAGCTTCTTGAAATAACAAAGACACATGCATGCACGTAAGTTTGTACGTTCCCGGGAAACAATTCATCAACATTATATTATAGTACATATATAATCCAGCTTCTTGAAATTACAAAGAAACATGCATGTGCGTAATTGTGTACGTTGTTGCGAAAACAAGTCTAAACCTAATTGGAGTCTGGACTCTGGACATGAAGGGAGCCAATGAAGGCTTATTGGGGGCAGATGCCCTCACTCAAGTAATTCGTTTGTTTAGTTGCAGACTACAATTATATAACATACACGAGTTATCTTTGAAGAAAATATATGTATCTAATATTCAACATACATGCATTCTACTTATACTCTATATCAAATATTATATGAGCAATAGTGCTCTTGTTCTGTCATTCAAACTGAAAAAAACCCTCTCCCGTCTATCATGCACTTATATTTTTCTCATCACTTTGTCAGTTTCCACTACTATATTGAAATTTTTGTAACATTGGAATTGTGATACATCATCATTTGAAACCATCTTTAATATCATATTGCGTATAACCACACTATAATAAGAGTTGTTTTCGGTTGCCCCCATTAGAAGAAATTTCTGACTCTGTCCTTGACTCTGGACATATACTAGCATTACATTACACAGATTGATCCGGAGGAGGAGGGAAGCTAAGACTTTTGAAGCTGGTGAAGCCTCCATCGACCACCAGATTATGACCCGTCACATACTTTGCTTCATCCGATGCCAGATACACCGCAGCTTGCGCCACATCTATCTCCTCACACTTCGCACCCTTGAGCTCTCCCAGCCCATTCACTATCTCTTTAACCTGATCCTCCGGCGCCCCCGGATAAAGCTGCCCTATTTCCCGCACCACCATTGACGTCGGGATTGGACCCGGCGATATGCAATTGACTCGGATCCCGTTTCGGCACAGCTCGCTCGCCAGTGACTTAACCAGGCCAGGTATCGTAAATTTTGATATCGAGTAGGGGTGAGGGCCAAGCCCACCCAACAAGCCAGCTATGCTGGACGTGCAGAGTATGGAGCCTAAGCCCGCAGGTATCATGACTCGTGCCGCATGCTTTATCCCAGCAACCGCGCCCCGCACGTTGACCCGGATCACGCGGTCAAACTCCTCAAGGTTCAGGTCAACGATGCTGGGCGGGAACGCTGGGCCTGTTATTCCCGCGTTGTTGTACATTATGTCAAGTTTTCCATGACGAGCCACGGCGGTTTCTACAGCTTCAGCTATCTGGGACTCAACGGCAACGTCGCACTGGACAAAGTGGGCTGCGGGCCCCAGCTCTTTGGCGACTTGTGAACCCAGCTCAGAATCTGCGTCTGCAATGATGACGTGTGCTCCATGTCGGATGAACTCGTGGGCCGTGGCTTTCCCAAGCCCGCTAGCTGACCCTGTTATTATGGCCACCTTGCCTTGCAGCCTGCTTTTTACAAAGAAAGTGTGCAAATAGATGATTAGATTCTTAATGCATCAAAACAGATGTTAATATTATCATGTTAATATACAATGAAAAGAAAAGAAAAGAAAGGAACAACATGCGTGGTTGAATATATCAATGAAAAGACAAGATCAGTCATGTCGTTTGAAAATGCCAAACGACGTCCGATTAAGAAAATGATTATTGGGGGCGGATTGATCATTCAACTACGAAGTTGTGGATCATTTTTCCACGCCGGCAATCACCCAAAAAAGCAACACCGCCCCATTCAAAATTTGATTCATATTAATTAATATAAAGTGTGATTTGTGCGTAAAACTTTGAATAAAGAGTTGAATTTGATGCCTGATAATGATCAAAGTTGAAACGTAACATGATGTAAAAGTGAAGAATAACTTATCTACAACAAATTTGTTAAAAAAAAATAATTACAACAAAAGTCAATGTAATGGTATTTTAAAATCAGTTATACATTGTTATACATAAAAAAAGATAATATACCAAGACAAAACGTGATTAATTTTAAGTATCAGCGTAACAGTGTCCTAGTTGTACGTAGATTATTTTCATATAAATGAAGACATATGGTATGAATAGTTACTTTAGATCTAACCAGGGGTAGCTTAAGCTTGAGAACATTGCATGTGCTGCAGGGTGTAAATCTTAATCATTGCCAACATAATTATTAATCAAATACTCAAGTTGACCTCAATAAACTAAACTATATCATATTGAAGAGAGCAGAGAGCAAAGAGCAGAGTAATATGCCGAAATTAATTACTAGGAAATGAAATTTTAATCATGGGATCACTCATAACTCCACGTTATATGCATAATTTACTTGGAAACTGTTCAAGATGGTTATGTTTATTCATATGTACTAAATAAATCCTCGCATACAGATATATATAACATGGTATATACTTAAAATGATATAGTACTACTGCGTACTGAGACAGAAAATAATAATGCCACAAAAACTATATATGCGCGCGACAATAATCACAATGACTAAGGTACCGAGGTAGGAGAGATTTCCATTAACAAGAGAAGAGAAGATGGGCAAAAGAAGGAAAATTATTAATTAATATCATCTACTATGCATGCATGTTTTTGGAATCGAAGGATCTGCAGCTAAAACACCAGCAGATCATATGATATAGGAACATACCTTCCATGGCCAGCTGCGCCACTCGTTGAAAAGGGCCTTGCTCGCTTACAGAGAAAAGCATTGCAGCTGATCAGCTTAAACTCTCTGAGAAGAAAACAAATATTCCACATATACATCCCTCATCAGTTTCCGTGAATTTCCAGCCCCTATATAGCTACTACTAGGGATTAGCATATATAATTGTTTTGATCATGTCAAATAGCATACATGGTATAATTGGTAAATAAGGTGTAAACTGACCTGGTTAGTGATTTGAGCATATCTGCGGCAAAGATCTGATGAATTCTGAGGATGAGAGCGAGAGAGAGAGAGTTTGTGAGAGAAAGAGCTGCTTGACCAGTGGCAGAACTCAAGGTAGCAGAAACAAGGCCCAGAATCTATTGGAGAGCTAGTAGATACGCGTTTTCATGCACAAAGAGAGAGAGAGAGCACCAACCGAGTTGATGTTGAAGTTGAAGATGGTTTATAACATATGTGACCTGTCGTATTTAATGATCCGAAGTTGAAAAACACAAGGAAGCCGAGTTGTAGTTTTTAAAATAGATCGGAGTTATGCTAATTGATCAGGTTAGTGTCTCCTATTATTGCCATTCAAGTTGAAATTTTTAATTAAAATAATTTAAAATAGAATATCAAATATGTTACTCTTACTACATTAATTTGTATCACATTTCTAATAAAGATGTGATCTACATGTGTCGTGAATCTCTTCTCTATTAAAAAGATAGTACAAATATAGTAAAAAAAAAGTGGTAAATGTAAGGCAATATTTGGCTACTTACTGATAAGCACCCAATTCTTACTAACCCGCATGTGCCCAATAATATTGTCAAATCTCGCTGAGGAATGGAGGAAAGAGGTTGTCAACTCTCATAAGGGATATTTGAATGCATGTAGTAATTAGATGACTAGATGTTTGATTGCTAGTTTAGAAAATTTTGAGAGGTACAGATGTTACAATAAAATTCGGGGCCACATACATTAGTGTAAGTAAAAATAAAATCCTCACCAATGAGTACTCAAATATTGTCCGCAAATATAGCATTACTCATATAATATTGCATATCAAAAAAGTAAACAATAGCTTTCAAATACAAAGAAACAACTTTGGTTTCTCAATCTTTTGGGCCACTGCCACCGGCCTGCCGGGCACTTCCAAGTAGAGCAATGACAAACGCATAGTTTAATATGGAGTGTGTAGAAATCTTTGTAGATCATATGTAGTTATGTACCGAATAATAGTATATGTATATATGTATACACGTGTGTGTATATATACACCTTTAAATATATCATGTTGAAGTTGAACACATATAGTGGATCATGAGAAATACGAAGGGATGTGCTATCCATACACCTTATTTTACTTCACACACATTCCTTGATAATTTCAGTCCGTTGATCTTCTTCAATTCATCCAATCCGACGACCGAAAATTAAAAGTGTGTGTAAAAAGTAAAATGAGGTGTGTGGATATCATATCCCAATACGAAATGAATGGTTAGGAGGTATAAAGAATCAATGTGGGGTTCTTAGGATGTAGCTAGGGTACTGCAGACTACAGTAGCTAACAAAAAATAGGAAGTAAAATAAGAAAAAATAAATTAAAAGGGAGAGCAAATCAATTATCGTAAAGAAAAGAATGGTGTAATATTTATTAGTTTAAAGATGTAAATATATAATTGGATCTCAATATATATATATTTAAGGAACAATTAAGCTATAATTAAGCAGATTGTTGAGGTTGTGGAGACAAACATCAGACAAGTGAGTGAGGCTACAATCTCAAAGTGCGGGATATTGCATATTTCTTGTCTCTTAAACAAAACTTTATTCCATCATGTTCTTCTTTTTGTTGGCCTCACTGCCCTTACCTTATCATGTTCTGTACACGCATACAAACAATTGATTAAACACTAATTGATTAATTAATTTGTCATTAACAAACCCCAGTTATGCATGATCATTAGTAATTAAAGTAGTTCAACACTAGCAACTGGAGCAACATATGTATAATGCATGCATGCGTGGATCAATGGTATTGTATGTATTTCGTGTGCGAATATAAATACTATTACTATATGGATTATGGAGGTTGTAATGATCGATGGGTGTTAATTAAAATACGTACTGTTGCGATATAGGATTTCACATCGGTAATGTTAAAATAGTATACAATTAATACATAGGAGTTTTCATTTTTAATATTACCGAAACATTTTGTGCAAGGGCGGAGCCAAGTACAAGGCTCCCCTAGGCTATAGCATAGGGAGAGTTTGGTTCTTCAAGCTTAAAAATATTAATTTTTGGGTGAGTTTATGATTTTTAATTGTCATATTCCATTTAACAAATGCATTTTTTTATTAATAAGACTGTTTTTAATAATAATAAGAGCTAACAGATGTTAAATAAACTCATCACTTTAACCAATATTATATTTAATAGTAATAAATTAAAACTTCCATACCACAAATGATTTCTTATTTTATTCACTTGAAAGCTTTGAAGGTTAGAAACCTATAAAACATAGCACAAAATTCTTACTTCAAATTACTACATTCAAGTTTTTACTATTATATAATTTTATGTAGGCAATATAAGATTAAAAATTTGATTTCGTAGTAATAATTTTATTTAAGCCCACCCACCAAATAATTTCTGGCTACGCCATTGATTTTGTGATAAAATCTAACACATAATAATATTGATGGTGGACATGCATAGACCTACAAAATTTCTTGCGTACTAGCTAATCCGAATATATATATATATATATATATATATATTCTCCATTCTAGGATACTAGTCTAACTAGCTAGGCTTAGGTGGAGTGAGCATCAACGCGAAGCTTAATTTTGTATTGTTTATGATTACGAGAGATACGATGAAAGAGTTTGGATAGTTTAAGATTGACGATCACGGATCACACAAGAGATATGGAATGAATAAATCCAAACTTAAAACATCTTTCAACATTTAAAAAGGGAACGATATATCACTAGTTATATGGTTTGTTATTTAGTTATGTTGCTTGTTAATGCTTGCATCTACAACCAGCTTCCATTTGATAACTATTACGTATACGAGATGAGATCGATGAAAAGTGAAAAAGGACGGAGGGGGAAAGGTGGGATGAAAGGGGGACAAATGAAGGAGAATCATGCGCTCTTAGAGCAACTCCACCCCTATCCACTTTGCGCCAGCACCTAGCCTATTTATCCACTTAATTGAACAGTAACAGACTCAATGAACAGTAATAGGCCAAAGCATCTCCACCCCAAAAAAAAATGTGCTGGCACCTAGTCTAAAAATGCGCTGGCACAAACGATCTCCATCCCTACAAAATGCGCTGGCACCCAGTCCATTTAAAATATTAAATAATTTTTTTATAAAATAATAAAAAAAAAAAGTTTTAATTTCGGATAGGATTTTTAACCAATCTCGTCACGCCACGTGTCATTATCCGAACGTACTATTTTTTGAATAGATTTCCGCTAAGATTTTCAACCAATCCCGACAACCCACGTGTCACTTCCTGTGTACAATAATTTAGGCAAGATTTCGATAAGATTTTTAACCAATCTCGTCACGCCACGTGTCATTATCCGAACGTACTATTTTTTGAATAGATTTCCGCTAAGGTGGAAAATATTGAAATGTGGTGTAAGGTGGAAGATGAGGGTTAGGTATTTATAGAAAAAAATAATAATTTTTTAAAATTTTTCTGTATTTTTTAAAAAAATTTTGACATTTTTTAATTAATTTTTAATAAATTTTAATGTTGTAATTAATCGGGACCGTTGGATTTGAAAAATAATCAAATCCAACAGCCAACACGATGCCACGTGGCCAACGGTCAAATTTCTGACCGTTGGGCCTTTTTTTTTTTTTTTTTTAAATTTTTGGTCAAATAAACGTGGACCGTTGATCTGTGATCGGACGGTCCAATTTAAATTTTTTTTACCGTTGGAAATCCAACGGCCTAAAAAACTAGCAGTTGGAAATCCAACGGCTCTGAGGAGGCCACGTATCCTTCACCCCGGACGACTGCAAGTGGGCCTGCACGCGGGCCCCAGCGCCTGCACAGCCTGTCGGCTACGCGCCCCGGGCACCGCGTGTGTTGCACGCGCCAGAAACAGACCGGCTTATGGGTCTGTCCATTTTGGGCTGGGCTGTTGACTGGCACGGGCTAGGTGCCAGTCAATTGCACGGGCTGGAGCAGATTCACTTGGTGCCAGTCCATTTTCTTCACTTGGTGCCAGTCCATTTTCTTTGGGCTGGAGTTGCTCTTATCATCAAGTGAAGTCCCTTTGGACCGGACCGTTTCCATTTGGAACAAAAAAGATAATAATAAACGGGCCGATCACTAAGTGGGCCGATCACGAAGGCTTAACCAATGAGTTAAGGTCCGGTAGTCCAAGGCGGAATACGACGTCGTATGAGGCTTCCTTTGAACATACTTGATAGTTGAAGTTGATTCTTCAACAGTTGAGCTTTGGTAACAATAATTTCTGCGTTTCGTGTGAATGTTAGGAAGGGAAAGGGAGAAAAAGCGGAAGTTGTATTGACATTGATTGGGATACCATATAAGAGGTGGGGGAGGACAGGAGGGATAGCATTGTCTGTCCAGCTTTCATACTGACGTCGAACCATCCCAACATTCCTATAATACAATACTAGTTACAGTGTTGATATCATTTATACAACAAGTCAAACCACACAAGAAGCAGAAGCGGAAGCAGATCTAATTTCACAAATCGGTGCGCCGGCAGATCTCACTTCTCTCTCTTTCTCTCTCTGTATATTGATGGGCGCCACACAGTCCGTACAAGAGGTCGAAGAGGAAGACGAAGAAGAAGAGGAGGAAGAGAACGGCATCAATGGCGAGCCCAACATTCGAAGTGGATTGGAATTGGACAAGGATTTGATCAAGAAGGTTCTAGAACAAGAGCCCGAGATGCTTTGCCACGCATCCGCATCCCCTCTCTCCCCTCAGCTCTCCACCTTGGGCACCCCGCGCCTGGGACCCTCCATCAAGGTGTGGGACCCCTACAACGTCCTAGCTCCGCCTTCGCCTCTGCCCCCGCCTCCCGGATTCTCCCGGAGCTTCTCGTCCAATGGCATGGAGGATGACCGATTCGTCACGGAGGTGTTTTTGATTAGTCACGGCCAGTGCGAGTTGAATTTAAGGCCCGATTTGGTGGGCGGACGGTGCCCGCAGGCGGCTTTGACTCCCAACGGCAAGCGCCAGGCCAGGGCCCTGGCGGTTTTCTTGAACTCCCAGAGGGTTAGCTTCAGTGCCGTTTACTCATCTCCTCTGGATCGTGCGCGCTCCATGGCGGTTTCCGTCTGTCAGGTAATTTTTTAATTGAACTTGTTTCATGTCGTTGAAGGCTTGGAGTTTAGAATTCTGATTGCGCATTGCAAATTTTAGAAAACTGACTATGAATTATGCATCGAATTATGCCTATAGGAATTTTACTTATGTCCGAATTTCGATAATATTGACTTATCAGTGAGAGAGGGATATGTGAATGTGTCCGTCAACTACTTGCTGAATATGATTTTTTCGTTTGAAGCCTTCTAGCTTATAATTTGGTAGAATTTGCAATTGGTAACTCACGGTGCATGCAAGGATTTGTATAGCTGACAACGCATATTTGGGATGAAAAGCTTCCTCACATCGAGTTAATTGGTTTGTGGGATAGAATGAAAGCTATAAGTGCTATATGCATCACTACCGTCACGGTCCCTCGTTTGCTCGGTCACTTGACTGGTGTAGAAGCTGTCGCAGTTATGGCTCGTAGCTTTTAAGACGTGGCTTCTTAGTCCAAGTAATGTGTTCTGAACTATGAATATCCAAGAATGAGTACGAGTATAATTGGAATCAGAATCATTTTGGCAGAATATATCATGTCCTTGAGTTTTTGGACTAAAAGAATTCTCTGGATTAGAAAGTCAGGTCAGGTTTGATAGTGTTCCGTTTGGTTGACTTCTCCTTCACCTCCTCCTTCTCCTTCATTAAGTTTTAGGTCCCCAGCCCTTTGATTCCTTTTCTTCTTCATCAAGAATCATATAAGTAGGTTCCCCTTTCAGCTGACGATGTGACATAGACTGCTTTGTAGATATTGTTTCCTGATATGAGCAGCTAAAGAGATAATGCAAGGTATAGTGTAAGACGTTTTACATGTATCTAATTAGTTTTGTTGGCTATAAATCATGCAGGAAATGAACTTTCCAGTTGGACAGATACAATCTTCAGATGCGCTTGCAGAGATGAGTCAGGGAGATTGGGAGGGGTGCCCCCGGTCAGAAATATACACAGCTGAACTTTTGAGCTTCATCGAAAGAGTTCAGCCTGATTTCTCTGCACCATCGGGAGAGTCACTTCGGCAAGTGGAATTTCAAATGGTTGGTTTTTTAAACGGGACAGTCCTTGGGCTTCCTGAAAAGTCGAGAGCATTCTACTCATTCTCATCACACAATCAGAGTGAGAGTCAAGGCTTTGCACACCATAGTTCTCATGTATCAACCAACTCAGTTCATGACCGAGAGGGGCCTTCCCTTCCTCCGCCTAACTGGGATCTGCTTCACAGGCAGCGGCAGGGGCTCTTGAGGAAAAAGTCTGGTAAAAGCAGGCTACAAGTTGTGACTACAACTGGAATTCAGGAGGTTGAGGATGAAATTTCCCCCCAGGACGTCACTCACCTAAGTTCCCCGCATGATTTAAGTGGGAGAAGCTCCTCTTCTGCGTCTTGTGTTGGTATATTCAGTCATGCAGTGCCAATCAAATGTCTCCTCACGGGCATCCTTGGATGCAGCCCATTAATGTCGCATAAGATTTGCATAGAAGACTCTTCTGTGACAGTTTTACAGCATTCATGGAGAACAGGTTGGCAGATAAAGAGGTTGAATGATACTGCACACCTCAGGCTTATGTAGTGGTTAGAGACTTGGAGTATCATAACTTGTTACATTATACCGACGATGGGAAAGTGAAGTTTCATTTCCCGGGATCAGTAGGTCACAAAACACGATATTTTTGCATAAAATATGCAATACCCTGCCATTTGTTGTAACATTTGCTATATTTATTTCCGAATTGTTCAACTCCGCAAAAGAAGAATGAAATGTTGTTGGAGTTGGATCCTTGTATCGGGTGATTCTTTTGATTTGTAGCATTTACAGGAGATGGTGTGCAGAATCATGTATTTCCTGTATATTTTGAAGAAATTTCGTAATTCATAAACTTTGCTCATGCATTTATCAGCTATATACATTAAATCTCAGTTGGAACAATCTGAGTTGGGTTTTGGTTATGCTCTTTTCCTTTTTTATGTATGCATCTTTCTTTTTTTTCTTTTTCAGTAAGAAACATTTCAAGTGTTTTTCGGACTCAATATCTGTTAGAATTTCTCTGTCCCACATTGGCCACAGAGCTTGAGAACAAGCCTTTTAAATAGAATTACCCCACTCTAACTAATTCCGAGACCTTTTGTATTAAAACCTCACACCTGACAGATTGAGTAGGTGGCCAAGTGGAGACAGTATCGATGTTGTTGGAGTGGGCCCATGGCCCTTCTACCCTGAAATTTAACATGGTATCAGAACTAGGAGATGGGCCCATACATCCACGTGAACGGGTGGGTCCCCTTTGGCCCCGCTCGAATGGGTGAGCCCTGACATGGCTCCACGTAGGGCAAAAGATGCCATGTTCATTGGCCCAATGCGAACTGGTGAGCCCTGGCTTGGGTCCACATAGTTGTCGATGTGTGAAACTCCATGTGTGACCCATAAAATAGGGTCTCACGTGCGGGAGAGTGTTAGAATTCCTATGTCCCACATTAGCCACAGAGCTTGAGAATAAGTCTTTTAAATAGAATTACCACACTCTAAGTGGGGACAGTATCGGTATTGTTGGAGTGGGTATATGGCCCGTCTGCCTGAAATTTAAGAATAACATTTTTTACTCAAAAGTCCTTTCAGTTATTTTAGAGTTTGTTTAGAAGTGCTTTTAAATGAATAAAAACGCTTTTGATGAAAATGTTTTAGAAACCAATTTTTGGTAAAAATCCAAGTAAATCCTGTAAAAACACTTTTAAGTGCTTTCTGCACTCCAAAAGTAACTCAAAATCAATTTCACAAAAACATTTTCAATCATTTTAAAAACACTTTCAAACGAGTCAATAAAAACACTTCCAAATGAGAGGAGTTATTGGACGCTAAGTTGGATAGTTAGATGATCGTTCGGGGGTGAATTTGCATGCAAAACCATGTTAGAGAGAGAGAAAAGTAAAGAGAGAGGCAAAGGCCATGTGGTTATTTTAGACTGCTAGAGTAACTTGTCCTAGTTTCTGTAACAAGTGTCATCAGACAGGACACACACAGGTACGGTGCGTGGGTCACCAGACACCAACAACTCTCACATGGGATGGATCGTGGTTTATAGATGGATGGGGCCGGCAGCTGCAGCCGACAGTTGCGAATCGCATTGCCTAACAATTTCTGACCATAGAAATAAGGCAATCCATTATGCAGCATGTTATGGCTATATCCTAGCTACAATCAGATTCCAAACGCATCACAAATATATATATATATATATATATATATTTCCATAACTCAATTATGAGCCTTCCTCTTACCAAGCGGAGACAATTAGCATTAAACCACGAGCTAATTGGTATCTAACTTTACTTTGGCAAATAAACACGACAGAGAAAGAGAAAACAAAAAGGTTGATTTCCATAAATAAGAACAAAAGAGAATTGAAAGTGCTGCTGTCCATCCCGTGACTACAACAGACAGTCACAGATGAGGCAGTAACAGTGGCACTCACACTGACACTCACTCACTCACTCACTCACTCATCAATAGCTTGATGTGTTTATAAACATAAACATAAACACACACACACACACACACACATTGAACATCGAAGTTGAACCCCCCAGTTCAGAGTTCAGTTCAACTAGCCTAAAATCCAGAGATATCTGTGGAAATTAATGGCTCTGTCTGTCAGTAAATTCTCTGCAATTTTATGCACAGCCATCTTGTTTGCTAATTTACATGCTCTGTGCAGGTCATCGAGTGTGGTGCCAACGATTTCAGCTTCTCCATCGGTTTTACCAAATGGAAATCCACCCAGTAACAATATGTCGTCCTTCTTCCCTTCTCCAAGTGATGAAGCTTCTAATTCCTCAGATGCATTTGCACCAGTCCCGAGCTCTGGCCAGTTCGTTGGCAAAGTTTCATCCGCCAACCCCAACTCCGACTGTCAGTGCGGTGCTCTAATGTTTGGTGCCGGGCTTTCTACCTTGTTTCTCTTCAAATTTGCCAATGCTGCGTAACTACTCGAATCTGTTGTAATTATGCCAGAGGTGTTATTAGACTCAATAAGCTCAGGTTTAGGATGAGGAACGAACGTATGGCTTGTAATTTGCTGTTTCTGTACTTTTCATGATTCTATGGATCATTTGGTTAGTTATGCCAGAAAGAACGTCGAAGAACTGACGTGCAGTCCGTATTATCCATATTGTTGGGAATGTTCATGTTGTATCGATATTGTTGAATATTTTGGATAACACCGTGTTCGTACGTTAAAACTAACACGATGACATATTGAACCGGCGTCATTTGGGACTAACGGATGACGGACATATCTGTCACAACATTTGCAATCATTTCGTTGACTAATGTGCGACTTTACAAGGGTGGCAGAAAAGCTTTCATGTCAACCGCTCCAAAAGGATCTCATATTTGCGACCAGTTTGTTTGCTCAGCGGGAATCCAAAGCCACGAAAATCCGCCGGGGGAAGAATGAATGAACGAATGAAGATTTCAAAATCGAGTTTTTGTCTCGTGAGCAGACACCAATATTCGGTCACAGTTAACAACCCCAACCTCACAACCTGGTTCAACAAATACGTCGACAAAAACGATGTCGCCTCCTGGAACTCCGTCATTGCCGACTTGGCCCGGAGCGGCGACTCCCTCGAAGCCCTCCGGGCATTTTCGTCGATGCGAAAGCTCTCCCTCAGACCAAACCGCTCCTCCTTCCCCTGCGCCATCAAATCCTGCTCCGCTTTGCTGGACCTTCACTCCGGCGAGCAAGCTCACCAGCAGGCGTTGGTCTTCGGCTTTGCGTCCGACCTCTTTGTCTCCTCTGCCCTCATCGATATGTACTCCAGGTGCGGTCGATTGACGGATGCATGGAAACTGTTCGATACAATTCCTTACAGAAATGTGGTTTCTTGGACATCCATGATCACCGGGTGTGTTCAAAACGACGCCGCCTGCCAAGCCTTGTCTCTGTTTAAAGAGTTGTTGATCGAGGAAATTGACAATGAGGATGTTTCTTTAGATCCTGTTGTTCTGGTTTCTGTTCTGTCGGCTTGTTCTCGTGCATCGAGTAAGGGACTTGCCCAAAGTGTTCATGGGTTGGTGGTTAAAAGAGGTTTCGATGGGGATTTACGGGTAGGGAATACTTTGATGGATGCATATGCCAAATGCGGCGAGCTCGGTCTTGTTAGAAAGGTGTTTGATGGAATGTCTCAAAAGGATTTGGTTTCTTGGAACTCCATGATTGCAACTTATGCACAGAGTGGATTATCTTCCGAGGCATGGCAAGTCTTCTACGGGATGACAAAGGATGGTGACATCTGCTACAATGCGGTGACATTGTCTGCTTTGTTATTAGCATGTGCACATGCTGGGCCTCTGCTAGTTGGGAAGTCCATACATGATCAGGTATTCAAATTTCTCGCAAGCCCTTTATATCATATCTGGAATAGGTTATTACTGTAGGCTCTCATAACTAATGCGATCTTTGGTCTTTTTGTTTATAGGTTCTGAAAAAGGGCTTGGAAGAGAATGTGATAGTGTCTACCTCTATTATCGACATGTACTGCAAATGTGGTACAGTTGACTTGGCAAGAAAGGCATTTGATTGCATGAAGGAGAAGAATGTTAGGACATGGACCGCCATGATTGCAGGTTATGGAATGCACGGCCGTGCCAAAGAAGCATTGGAGGTCTTCTATAAGATGATAAGAGATGGTGTGAAACCAAATTACATAACATTTGTGTCACTTCTAAATGCTTGCAGCCATGCTGGTCTATTAGAAGAAGGTTGGTATTGGTTTAATAACATGAGCCACAAATACGGTGTAGAACCTGGAATTGAGCACTATGGGTGCATGGTTGATCTTCTTGGACGTTCTGGTGATCTTAGCAAAGCTTATGATTTAATAAAAGGAATGAGGATCCGGCCAGATTGTGTAGTCTGGGGTTCATTTCTTGGGGCTTGCAGGGTACACAAAAATGTGACATTTGCAGAGATTTCTGCGAGGAAGCTGTTTGAGCTCGACCCTCATAATTGTGGGTACTACATCTTGCTTTCAAACATATATGCCGATGCTGGGCGATGGGAAGATGTTGAGAGGATGAGAATACTGATGAAGAATCGTGGGTTGGTTAAACCTCCTGGATTCAGTTTGGTTGAACTGAGAGGTATTGTGCATTTATTTTTGGTTGGAGACAGAGAGCATCCTCAGCATGAGAAGATTTACGAGTATCTAGAAAACCTGACAATCAAGCTGCAAGAGGTTGGCTATGCACCCAATATCAGTTCAGTTCTTCATGATGTTGATGAGGAAGAGAAGGAAATGGTCCTAAGAGTACATAGTGAGAAGCTGGCTGTTGCCTTCGGAATCATGAATTCTGTACCTGGTGTAACGATTCAGATAATCAAGAATCTCCGAGTTTGCGCCGATTGTCATACTGTTATTAAGTTGATTACAAAGGTTGTTGATCGGGAAATTGTGGTCAGAGATTCAAAGCGGTTTCATCACTTCAGGGATGGGTTGTGTTCTTGTGGAGATTATTGGTGATGGCTCTGTAAGAAGATGGCGATTGGTAAGCAAATTTGGCTCGAAGGTGTTGAGCAATATATAGCATGTAATGGCTGTATATGAATGTTATGACTAACATTCATATAATCAGTTTTGGGGAGACTGAACGCCACTTCTGATAAGATTGTGTCTGATTAACAGAAGACTGAGTAAATTATAGATCAGCCTTGACCAGGATTCTGGTCAAAAAACAGAACCACAAATCACTACTCTACCAATGGGATACTTGTCATGCTCAAAAAGATGATGGCTTACTAAGGTGATGAAGGTTTCCAAGTTCCGGAATCTACCTCTCAACGGGCTCCCTCATTTTTCACTCTCATATTCGACCGACCACATGATTCTGAGTAGTAGAATGAGGATAGGAATCAAAGCCTATAATCGAGCATCTTCAGACATTCGACAATTCCTTTGCTGTTTCCGGTGTTGCTAATGTTTTTGGATTTGTTTAGTGAACCAGAACTTCAGCATTATGCATTGGGGATTCGCAAGTGAATTCGTGAGCTATGGCGTGGAGATGAAAAGCTAGTGGAACAACCAGACCATATGTTTCATCGACTCTGTATCCACATGTAGCCTTGATCGTTCAGTTCTTCAAATAACGCTCGATTTGCATTTCATTTTTCAACTCTTCATATGTTTCATTTTGATTTCTGCGGGCTGTGGACATATTTTTCAGAAAAAGTGCGTATATATAATGGAAGGTAGTGAAATTTACCGGGAAGGAAAATAACTAATGATATTTCTTTTCTAAATCAAAAGGGTGTGATACTTTGACTACGCAACCAAAGTAACGTTTACGAATTGCCAATTTGCCAAAGGATGCTTGTGTCCCATGGAGGACTTTCTTGTTCCCTGCTGATGATTAACGAAGTTTTAACATTACAATCATAACCGTTCATTTCTTTATCATCATCTAAAGATTATATTTGTGACAAACCATTCAATTTGGAGATTGTTTAGTTATCTATACATGTTAAACCAATTAACGTTTTAGTAACAAGTAGCATCATCATAAATCGTCAATTTGTTTTATGCATACGAATGACTAAAATATCTCTAAATTGAATAATTTTTTGCATATAAGATTTTAGATGATGAAAAAGAAAAATAAACAATTTCAATTATAATGGTCAAACGATAAAAATTCGTTAATTGTAAGTAGAGAAACAGGTAAGTCAAACACTAGCCTTTGAAAAATTGGAAATACCATATCTATTGATTTTCCCCGTACATGCCTTTCTATGGGTTGGCATTATTCATGCCTCTTCTATGGCGGTTTCTTTTTCTGCCAGTTTCTCGCACGGGCGGTGTTATCCTTTTTCATTTTCTCCGCAAGATTTTCAATTTTTATTAACAGATCGAATGAATTAAAAATGATTAAATGAGATAATTATATATGTGAAAGATAAAAAAAAGTATGTGTATAAAATCATCTTCTTAAATTATTATCCTTAAGTGTATGTTTACTTAATTAAATATTGAAATTATTCTAAATTTTTACTAACACATACAAAAAATTTTAAAAAAAATATCGTAAATACATTACTATATGCAATCAAATATTCGAAAAAAAAAACATGAATTAGATTGATTGTAACCCTAGTTGATTTTCAATTTCACTTCTCTAGTCGCCAGAGACTTTCTCGATTACTCAAAACAGCATATAATTACAGCTCCTCATTCCTTGAAGTAGATCGATTCAAATGCCTACTTTGATATTTGACCAAAACAAACCTAAATTGGTACCCGAACAAATAAAAAAGAAAGAGTGAAAAGACCTAGTTTGATGGCCGCCGGGCCCAAAAAATGCGAAAGGTCAGCCACGCTGAGTGGTATAATAGTAAATAAATGTGATCGACAGGGTTATGTCATAAAAAGGTATTTTAATATGACCGGCACACGAAATAATACATCACGTGTTATTATATAATAAAATATATTGTTAAAAAGTTAATAACTTAAAAAATAAAATTTCTTAACTTTGGTTTCGTGTTCCTGGCACGGTAAAAATTCTCTCCATGTCGTGGAATTGATGCGAGGGTTGAGCTAGCGTCGGACCAATAGGCGCATAGCAAAAACCGGAATAAAAAAGGGCAAGAGGAGAGGAGAGGAGCGCCCCATTTCTAGCAAAAGCATCTGGCAGCGAGAGTTTGGGAGAGAATACCTTTCTCTCTTCTTCCGTTTCCCTCTCTCTCTCTCCTTCTTCATCTCCCAAATCTCAGAGCAATCAATCACTCTCTCTCCCATGGCTCTCTCAGACAAGCAATCGCGTAAGGCTCTGATCCCGAGCTTCCTCTACAGCTCCTCGTCCTCCATCGCGCTGGAGAAGATGCTCTACGCCAGGCCTAGCGGCGGCTTCACGCCGACTGCCACCGTCGAAGGAGTCTCCGCCAGGAAGGGCCTCGTCATTCCGTCGCCCCGCGAGCCCTTGGGGAAGATCGAGATGTACTCGCCTTCCTTCTACGCTGCCTGTACTTTTGGAGGAATTCTCAGCTGTGGTCTCACTCACACGGCCGTCACTCCCCTTGACCTCGTCAAGTGCAATATGCAGGTCAGATCCCTAGCTATTTCTTCCCCGAGCTCTTATCTCTGACTTAATTTTGATTATCTATGCTTATCATACAATTGCTTCTTTTATCTGATTAGATCTGTGCTATTTTTCTTCGGTTTTGCCCGTAACATTTCATTTGTGTATGTATCTCTGTGTGTGTGTATGTATGTATGTAATTATTCGGATATCTTTCCTAGGTTCTTGGACTGTTCAGGTCTCTGATTTGTTATCCGTGGCTCACATATTGGCTGTGAATTTTGTATATTTTGGTTCTTATTTCCACTGCATCATGATCTGAACTGGATCTGAATTCCGTCGAATTTTCAAAAGTCTAGGGATTTTATTTAATTCTTTATTTGTACCCTCTCGATCATGTTGTTTTATTATATTTGGAGTCTTTGATCTATTGATTTTCAGTCTATTTCTGTATCGATTGATTGCTTGGCATTCTATATTGATTCCTTCATTTTGTTATTTTGCTTTGAAGGGCTGTCAATGTAAGATATTTGTTTGGTTCATATCAGAGACATTTGTAACGTGCACATATTTCTCACTTTATTTAATGGTGAAGGTAGATAATTTGATTGATGATGCGGGTATTATTTATTGATTTTTCAGATTGATCCCGCAAAATACAAAAGCATCACATCTGGTTTTGGAGTTCTGCTCAAGGAGCAGGGGGTTAAGGGCTTTTTCAGGGGATGGGTGCCTACCCTCCTTGGTTACAGTGCTCAGGGTGCCTGCAAGTTTGGATTCTATGAATTTTTCAAGAAGTACTACTCTGACCTTGCTGGACCAGAGTTTGCTGCCAAGTACAAGACCTTGATCTACCTTGCTGGTTCAGCATCTGCTGAGGTCATTGCCGATGTTGCTCTTTGCCCCTTTGAGGCAGTCAAGGTCCGTGTGCAAACTCAGCCTGGATTTGCTAGAGGTTTGTCAGATGGACTTCCTAAGTTTGTCAGATCAGAAGGTGCTCTTGGGTAAGTTGTACTGCATCATTGTTGTAATATTTTTTCTTACACACAGATGCCTGTTTTGTTTCTTTCAGTTTCAAACTAAATTACCGTCGCTAAGATTAACATGTGAATAATTTTCAATTTCAGATTGTACAAGGGTATTGTTCCACTATGGGGACGTCAAATCCCATGTAAGTTGGAAAGATTTGAATACATGACCGTCTTTATCCTGATACTCATGTGAACTGCATATGATTTGAAAGGATTATTCGATTGTATCCTGATGCACCATATGGGGAACCCCTTTTAAACATGAAAGCGATAATTTTAGAGATGCAATTGGTAACCACAAACTTGAAAGCTGTAGTTTTGAACTTTTGAATACTACTTCTATGTCATGTTTACTATTATGAAGTTTCTAAGTTGTTTTATATCTCATCTTCCTCCTGCTTCTGCAAGTTACATGGATTGTTTGCACAATAAGCAATTGAGGTCATGATATTGTTGCATTTTTCTAGCTGTAGGTAGATTGGATGAATTTTCTGGCCACAAAAAATAGCCATATTTATGTTGTTTTGTTTTAGATATAATCTTATGAGCCATGTTTACTTCTTATTTGGGTTTTGAGCCCTTCGGTGTAGCCTTCTGTTGTCATTTATTAAGACAAATATTTCTTGCTTGAAGCTTTGTGTGGGCCATGTTTAGATTTATCTTCAGCAAATTGCCTATTATATTCTACATTTTCTTTAAGAGGTTTCTGAAACTTGCCCGATAGGTGCTGAATTTGCGTACTTGCGTTTTCATGATCTTTAATCTGTATTTCTTGTTTTGGTATGCTGATTACTTACCTACTTGTTCTTTCTTGTAGACACCATGATGAAGTTTGCCTCCTTTGAGACTATTGTGGAGATGATCTATAAATATGCCATCCCTAGACCTAAGAGCGAGTGCTCCAAATCTTTGCAGCTTGGTATAAGTTTTGCTGGTGGATATGTGGCTGGTGTATTCTGTGCTATTGTATCTCATCCTGCTGACAATCTTGTCTCCTTCCTCAACAATGCCAAAGGAGCAACAGTTGGTGATGTGAGTGCTATGGTTTCTGGATTTGTTCTAGTACATCTTCTTCCTTGCTCTGTTTTGATTGTTTTGGTTTCTGGCTGTGCAGGCTGTCAAGAAGATGGGAGTGATCGGTCTCTTTACCCGTGGGCTTCCTCTTCGTATTGTCATGATTGGAACTCTTACTGGAGCTCAGTGGGGTATCTATGATGCATTCAAAGTTTTCGTCGGACTGTAAGTCATTCCTTCCTGCAACAATTTGTTTTGTTATTAGGTTATGTAAATGCATGGTTAGGTAAATTTTTGTGAATCGGTAAATTTTCAGGCCAACAACTGGCGGTGCTCCCCCTCCGGTTGCTGCTGCATCCGAGCTTGCTAAGGTGTAAACCACTGGGTGATCAACCGGATCGACTTTGTTGTTTTTTGGAACTGAAAATTTGTCATAGGAAATAAGCATAGGATTGCTGAAGTTGCTTAAATGGTATCAAACAGGAGTATTGTTTCTTTTGCATTTGGGGATGGTTTTGCTCTCATCCTCTTTTAAAAGACGTATTTGTAGTTAGATGAGGTATGAATTTGAAATTTTATGTTGGTGTTGAGGGGAGTCACCCTTTGTCGAGTGTAGGCGACAAAAAATAATGTTAGATGGGGTATTTTCTTTGCCATCCCAAAATCGAAAGGCATGGGAATTATGCCTGCATACGATTTTTGTTTTATCGTTTCAAACTGAAATGATTTGAAATAGGTTCATGCTGTTCTTCGAAGGCAATTCTTGCTCCACATTTCTTGTTAGATTAAAGCGTTAACTTAATCCAATGTCGAAACATAAGTGCAAGTTTGGATTGAAGGTCAGAAATGGGAGAAACACGCTCGAAAGTATGGAACAATATGTGTAAAAACCAAACAACCTCGCAAGAGCACTGAACGAAATATGTCAAAGGGCTGAAAACCCAAAGATATTATTCCCATCGCTTCTTTCAAATAATTATAGAAAGCCAAGAACTGTGATTCCATGCTCTACAGATATTAGTACGGAGAGCCCCAAAACTACCAAGTTTTAAGCACCAAAACAAAAGGATCCCTCACGAAGAATCCCAGAGCAGCAATTATAAATAAATAAACAAAGAATGCGACTGTAAATGCTAATATACAAATTATCCCGTCCACTGTTATTGTCGTCCAAAAAGATCCTCAGATTCTGACAGGGATAATCAAGTGCCCATTCAAACAAGATTGATCGTGAATGAAACATATGGATGTGCATCCGCATCACCTGCTAGACCAGGCACTCCTCCCCCGGCTTCATCGTCAGTTTTCCAGAAGGTACTGCATTGTTGACAAAAACATCAAGGACGTAAGGTAAGAGAGATGCGTTAAAAGCACACAGCACATCACACAAGGTTTCTTAGCATAGATTACAATTGGTCAGTTCTGTTTTATGGAAGAGTTAGCTTCTCCCTTTGTGTAAAACAAACATAAAGAAAGCTTATGGACTTGCCTGTTGCCACTGTCGCACAATCCTTCAAGGATTGAACGGACTTTCTTCTCGGCTTTTGTAGTAGGGGCTAGCACGCATGCCTGAAATTTCATTTGAATATCCAATGCTTAGTCAAGAGAAAATGCTTGGTCGTAAACCAGTGACAACAGATGAAACTTATTTACCAAGAAATTTGGTGGTAAACCATATCTCAAAATGCTCTCTGCAAAGACACGTACAGCACAAAAATGCATCCAGGAGCTAAAAACCTGCAGGCGAGAAACTAGTGCATTGAGTAAGAAATTTCCAAATTTGTCGTAGGAGGGCATGCAAAAACAGGATACAACAATAGCATTAATAACATACGATAATAATAGTACAACAATTCCACCAAGAATAATTCTGGAAAACTGTAACTAAGAGAGAGAGAGAAAAAAGCAGGCATCGTGTATGGAGGCCACTCAAATAAGGCCATCAGGGGAATCTTTAATTTAAGATTACTAGGTAGAGACACCCACAAGTAATACCACTGTCTATCAGAACATGACCCATGCTACCGCAATTTTGCTACATTTTTATTGCACGGCCAGTGACATAACTTTGAACAAAGTAAACTGAGTGAAGCAAAAATTACCTCCCCGTAACTGGTATAGCACCACTGCAAAAGGGAGGCTCTTAAATTTTCTTGGTCTTGCACCAATTTTTCTAACTCCTGCTTTCGACTTTCTTGTGCTTCAGAACTGTATTCAAAATCACGAATCTGAACCACATGATAAAGAACCACGAGTTAGTCATAAAATTTCTCGGAGTGTAAAAAATGGAACTAGGATATTTGCATATCTCTATTGCTGTTACATTTATCAGATCAGTGATTTGATATTTGCATAAACTGTAAAGGAGATTCATTTTTGCAACTTTCATGGGAAATCAGAACAGCATGTTCAAAAAACAAAAGTACGCACCTGGAACCCCTTTTCACGAGCACTTGTTCTAAAGTTATCTGCAACCCGATTAAACAGTGTTACAGTGTAAAGAGCATATTCATTATCTTCAAATAACTTCTTGGAGCACCTAGGGACCTGAAAAATGCTTAATATGATCAAATAAGACTGAAAGAAGAAGGCTGCAATAAACATAAAAAAATTAAGTGCTAGCTGTTATTCCAAAACTTTGCAAGATAGGATGTACATCAACTATCTCCAACCAACTGCAATAACCTGGTGTCAGTAGCAGCTGAAGTAAAAAGCTCTGGAGGTAAATCATACCACATAGTTAGTCAAGGTCTCATAGCTTGATAGCCAATCCTTCTGAGAGTACTTGGGAACAATTGCAAGGAGGGTCACTAGATGTTCTGAAACAATGATGTCCTCTGATTTCACTAAACTGGAAAGATCACGAACTGCTAAGCTAAAAAACACCAAGAGATTAGTAAACCAAGAATCGTAATAAAATAGGTCATACTCTTGCAAAGATTAGAGTTATAGAAATATTATACCTTCCACTCTGCTTTCTATTGATAGCATTCAGTTGACTGCGGACATTATTATACTCGGCTACACGAACCTAACATACGAGTCATAAAATGGTGATTTATTTTTCTTGCAAAGAGTCAGACTAAATATATTTAAATCCAACTTATCATTAAGTTGCTTGTTTGGGTAACAAACTAATGAAAAGAGCTGGAGAAACTAGGCTCAGCGCCATTAACTATAGTCATTCACTTCTCCAGCAACAAATATCATCTGTTATACCAATAAATTCCATCCTTTAAGAGCAACAGCTTGGGCCCCCTCATCACAACAAAGAAATGCTTATAGTGACTACAACTTATGGAGTATGTATAGTTTATCATTCCAATAAGTTTTAGGAAACTCACATCTCATCAGGTTGAAGCAAAAAATATGAAGCATTACCTTGAGATCATCCTCAATCTTTGCAACTTGACCATGTATGCTGTCTATCACCTCCTTCAAGGGCGACATTGTTGGATACTTGGCTTCATCCCAAACAAACCTACCACAGCAAAAATCCAAATTTCAAAACTCAGTCACAGACAGTGACCACAGATAAACCAAAACACCACACCTCAAGTCCATTATTGATCTCATTGAACTGTGAATTAATACCTGGTGAGGTATGAATCGACAGGCACTCCATCAACAGTCAGAGCGCTACTCTCCACGCCAGAAACCCTCTCAAGCTCCTCGATCTGGCGCCTGATCTTATGAGAAACACCCTCTACAAAGTTGTTGGACTACAAATTGCCAAAAATCACAAAATTAAAACTAAAATTTACAGATCGGAGCGAAGAAAAAATTGCATTCTAATTGCAACAAATTAGATTTCAACAACTATAAAGAGAGTATTCTCAGGCAATGAGATTTCAATCGGATAAGATAAAATGTCAGAAAATTATCATTGAAAAAAGATAATTATTGGTATTTTAAGCTACCAAACAAGTTTCAGAATTCCAAATTATCAATACAATAATCGGGAGAATACCTTCAAGAGATCGTCGCTGAGGGAGAGAAGAGAATCCAGGGTTCCAACACGGAGATTAGGAATATTGAACTGCAAAAAGTGTTTGATACAATTAAATTAAACGAGCAGATAAATGAATTGGAAAAAATCAGATCAGATCTTGAAAAATCAGAAGAAGGAGAGAAACAGGAGTAAGTACTCTGTAGAGGGGAGTGTCGAAGGAATGCTTGGAGATTTGTTCCTGCAGACGGTTCCATAGAGACGACGCCGAGTTTTGAACCGGCAGAGACACCACCCAATACCTGCTCGCCATTCAATCCACCCACCTAATCAATCCGCTCACCCTTCTCTCCTTCTCGCAGCTCGCTCTGTGCTTTTGCTAGGCGCTCCTCAAACTCCCTCTCTCTCTCTCTCTCTCTCTCTCTCTCTCTCTGCTGGGTGCTGGGTGCTGCTTCTCCTTCTTCTTTTGTTTTCTATAGATTTCTATTTTCGTGTTTAATTCCTGATTTCTTTTTCCCTGCCAAAATTATATATTTACTAATAGGCCAATCAGATCATGCCATCTCATCCTGATTCATCCACAACTTCTATAATTGCTTATTTCTTCGGAATGAGAATCCTCGGATAATGAGATCTTTAAATTATGTTTATTCATTTGTAGGTTAGAAATTATTTTAAATATTTTTATTTAAAATTAAATATAAATAATATCTGACTAAAACTAATTGAATGATATACGATAAACGAACATAAATTTAAGATTACTCAAAAACCTCTGAGGATCCTCATTCATTTCTTCATAGCAAGATAAAAAAAATATATTAAAAAAATTAAAAAAAACCAATAGCCGGATAAAAATGAAGGCATAGGAACCTGCCAAAATAATAAAATAGAAGCGCCCACCGTGGGGCTCGAACCCACGACCACAAGGTTAAGAGCCTTGCGCTCTACCAACTGAGCTAGACGGGCTGCCCATCTGGCGTTAGACAAAATCCCATAATCAACGGTTAAGCATGAGTCAATTCATGGATAATGTTAGATTTGTGGAACAAGATTACTTGTTCCAATTACATATGTTGTTAATCTTTTAACATATTCAATACTCATTTCAGTTTCTTATGCAAGAAGATTGGGAGATTAACCGATATCATAAATCTATCCAGAAAATTAAACAAAATACATGTCACAAGTTTATACACTTGCACTACACTCGCTCATGCCTTTATTGGTACATACGATCAACTATCAAAATACGATACAAAGGTACAAAAAGAGAAAGTCAGACTCATTTGGTCACTTTCACTTAGGTGGTTACATATTTTCATATAGTTGCATGCAATGCCCCTTATACTGATATTGCACATATATTAGTTTACGCTAAAACTTAATAGAAGTCGTCAAGAGACAAGTTCTCAACAGATCCAAAACTTTCATGCAGAGACCCATTTCTGGAGTAGTTTGTCATCATTGATCCCCCGGAAAAATCAAGCAGAGAGTCGTTTGAGTAGGTGGTGGTGTCATACACAAATGACAAGCCCGCAGTCGTATCCTCTTCCATTTTCGGCATGTAAAACAAACTCGACTCCTGCATATAGAGGTCATTCACCGCAATGTTCATACCACTTATGTCTCCGTATACATGATCTTGGTCAGATGCCTTTCTTGCCTGAATGACCTGCAAATGCATGTACGGTCAAGAACAACTTAATTAGCGTCTGTTTAATTAATGATCAAATCATCTTGAACTGTATAATGGTCTGGTCACCCTACATAATTCTGGTTGTGATTATCTTGGTAAACCATGATATAATCTCCAAACTGTAAGCCATGTGCATTAACAAATTCACCTGAAAAAAAAAAAAAAAAAAAAAAAATCAACATTACAAGATTGATAACCCAATATAAGAACCAAATGTTTGATAAAAGGGAAAGAAGGCAGAGATATGTACCCGTATTTTCAAGTACATACATTCGGCTGTTGTTATTAGGCCAAAACCTGATTAATTAGAAAAAGCAACAAAAGTAGATGACTTTTTGTGCAATCATAAATTGCCAGAAAATTGATCAGGGCTTGAAAGGAATAGAGAACTCGTTAAAGATATTGAGGAGCTTCAAACCTGTACTTGAAGCTCCAAACATGCAGACCATCTATGTCATCCATGTTGATTGGCATTCCTTCCTTTGATTCGAGGGTAGGGAGATGAGCCTCGGCTGCTTTCTGCAATTAAGTAAACGATTTGGCATTGTCATATATATATGAATCTTTAATAGCTCAATTAGTTAGCATGATACTATTCATATCATAGTCAGTGCCATTTATAAATGCGATACAAATTGAGTAATTACCTTGGGGAGTATCATTCTTCTGAGAGAGCTCACATCACTATTCTTTAGCTCTTTTTGGAAAAGAAATCGCAACCGTGTTGGATCAATTACCTGAAGCATCCAGATCCATTCATGATATCATTGAAATCAGACCAAGGCAAAAAAAGATATGCATCGAACAAACTTGTCTTGAGATAAGTGACAAGTCACAAAGGTGCAGTGTTTTCTATCATGTCATGTCTTGGACAATAAATCACATGATGATTAGCATTTTAGCAAAGTTATAAACTTCAGAATCTAGAATCCAACCTAGATTAGGGATTCTATATCAAATATGAATAAATCCAACTATGATTCGCTCATCAAACAGTACTATAAAGAGCGGACTCCTCAATTCTTTGGCCTTTTAACTGAAAAAAAGGTGAACTCATCAATCGAACGGTTATTTAACTATACAATGTTCATATCGAATATGACAAATTCATACTATAGAGTTTCCCCAGAATCTATATCTAAGGGGAAGGGGGTTTATGGGGACTCCTTTCGAACACAGACAAATTAATTAGTAAAGGTTTTTATATACGTAATGTACGTTGACATACATCATTCTATCAGTAGATTTAAACTGTTGGTGCCCAACCTGATCATGCCATCACATAGATTAAGTTCAGAAATATTAGATCCGACTGATTCCATTGAACCAACATATCATTACAAAGTAAAATAAAATAGTTAATATTTCAGAAGGAAATCCCCCCAAAGAAAAACATACAATTGCCCTTGATTAATCATCCAAATCACAGCATTTATAACGAAGCCGGAAACTCCATTTATAAAATTTGATAGAGTGATTAATTGTAAGTGTGAAGGGTCATATATCCAGTCCATGAAAAGGTCAATCAAATCAATCTAGTCTTTGTAACAAAAAAAATTAAAATAATGAATAAATGAATAAATGGAAGAAAATCAAGCAAAAAATACAAATCAAATTAACATACATCTGATGGAACATTGTCAGATCATATGGACCGAAAAGTAAAACATCAGATTTCATGTGATTACCAAAGGGGGAGCATAAATCTCAGAAAAATAATTAAATAAATAAGAAAATAATTCAATTAAATTTAACTCAAACGAAGAAGGGTAAAATTTGAAGAACAAAATAATAAGCAAATAATACTAATAATTTATATACGTATGAGAGGTAGAGGGAAAAGGAAAGGGAAATTGAGGAAGCTCACACGTGCAGGAGGGAGAGTGGAGGGGGGTGGTAGCACGTGCGAGGGGGTGGAGGAAGCAGCAGCAGCGAAAGAAGAGAGGTCGTGAAAGTTGATGATGGAGGATCGCCTATGTCTGGTCATTCGTTTCTTCCTGAGGACACCGAAACTGGTCACAGCACGGACAAGGTCATGGATCGATCCGCTCCGCTCCGACCCGTGAACTTTACTCTTGTGATCCGGGTTATCCTTGTCCCCCTTGGCAATGACAAGGCCGAGCTCAGCCCCTACACCTGCCCTCAAGCCAGAGGCCTCGGTTTTCTCACGAAGGCCGCCACCTGCTACAGCTGCTGCCGCCGCTGTTTGGTCCATTAAACCAAAAGCAAAAGTGTTAAAAAGCAAAGGAAATTACTAGTACAGGTTGGACCTTGGATTTCAGTAACAGTGGCTGTGGAGGACGCTCGGCAGTCGCGAAATGGGTGGGCTACCTCTTTGGAAAGAGAAGAATATATATCTAGCTTAGCTAGGTGGTTCTGGAGGTGTGTGCTACTCCCAGCTTAATTTGCTACCTTTTTCTTAATTTTTGTTTAATTTTCCTTGTTTTCTTTGCTATTTTTGGCAAGGGCTTTTGGAGAATAAAGTTGCTGCTGGTATCCTTGATTTTCCAGTGACATTTGTGCAGCCTGCATTTAGTCTTATCATGATTTCTAAAAGCTTTTTCTTTGCTCTCTTTTTTCACATCTGTTTCATTGTTTATGTGCAAATGGGGCTGTATGCATTAATGTATGGACGAAAAAGCCAGATTTAGGGTTTAGCTATGGTGTTCGCAATGGAGCAATTTACAAAAGAGGACCTCCTGTTCTGGGTCGGATGACAAATGTGCAATATGCATTCATGGTTTTGTTTATTTTTATTAAACCTTGCTAGCTAGTTAACTTAATGATCAAACCATGGTTAGTGTTAAGAAGTGTGGAGGGGATGGTGGGGGAGGGGGAGGAGGGGATAAGGTGGGGGGTGGTGGTAGTTGGAGAGTGGCCAACGGAGGAGTGACGGATGGACAGTGAAGACAGCAATGTTGGGCTGAGATGAACCTCCAGGTGTTGCAAAAGTTCTGACTCCCCATGCAACTGTGTAATCAATTCAATGGCATCTCTCTCTCTCTCTCTCTCTCTCTCTCTCTCTCTCTCTCTCAGAGACGAACAAGAGAGTTTTACGTATGGTAGGGATGAAGGAGAGTTTCCGGTGTGATACTCACACCATGGACTATTTTACTCACTAATCACATCAAGCATAATTTATTAAAACGCACGGCCGAGATCGTTTAATTCCGAAAATCTACGGCTATCTGATTTAACCGACTGAAAAAACAGACCTCTAGGCTCCATCTGATTTCCAGATTTTACGCCACTTAATCTGATTCACATTCGGACTTCGCCTTTTCTTTTTATTTATTACGACATCCATTTCCATTTAAAACTTTGAATTTTTGTGCTGACATGAGCTCGAGGAAATGTACTCTTTTAGTGTTCGAATTCGAATTTTCTTCTTTATAATTTAAATTTTGAAATATATTTTGTTGTAAAATATATAGCTGGAAATTTTGGGACATACCTTTTTCAGAGGTAAAATAAAATTTATATATTTGAAATGAGGGGCATCAACAGATTTATACGTGAACAAAATTTTGAGACTCAAACATAACTATAAAAACAATAAAATAATCAATGATCAAAATTAAAATGGTGACATAAGGAAAAAATTTTGCACTATACATTCCATTGTATTGTGGGTAAATTTGGGAAATGCCTTTTTTGCCCCTAATCGCTCACTCCTCTTTTAACCTCAAATATGCTTCCGCTGCCACTTGGATGCCATGCAAAAGTGAATCAATTTGCAAGCCATATCACGTGTCATTAATAGAAAATAAATATATTAATTAATATTTAAATAGGTAATATGCTTAGTATTATTCTTTTTTTTTTGTTCGGATAAATGAAGTGATAAATTAACAACTCTTAACTTAGACTCCACACCTCGAGTAAATAAGAGTGCATTTTTGTTCACCATCTTCAAGTGACATTAATACTCATCATCTTATTTATCATCGTTGAATAATTTTAAATTTTAAAATTTGTATCTATAAATTAATCAGCATCACCATGGGTAAATTCTAATTACAGCAATACCAAGGTAATCATTGTATTCGAGAACTATACTGTGTACCATTTGCTGCAAATTGGCCTTGCAATTCGCCCATTTAATTTTGAATTTTCTGAACTGTTCAGGTGAAGAAAAGATAGACATTGAGTTGACCATTTGTCATTGTAATTGCTGGAAAATAACTAACAAAAAATCAGGTGAGGAAAAGATATATATTGAATTGACCATTTGTCATTGTAATTGATGGAAAATAACTAACAAAAATAGCAAATTCTGGTCACAAACTAACAGGTTCCATTTGTACAACTCGTACGAAGAAAAGAGAAAACCGATATAAATAAACAAAACTAGTAGAAGTTAGAACATTGAAATACTATCCCTCCCAACGCATGAATGAGGGTGAAATCGACCATGTATGAACAAAAAACGCCCTATTCGAGCGAAGCACGGTGCAGACCTTTGATATAGAGAGTACCACATTACAACGGGAGCTGATGACAACGCAAGTTAAATCACAAGGTACAGACAGACATACGTGATCATATATCCTAGACTCTAGTCCAGCTACCCCGGCCCCTTTTATGCCTCACAAATGAACATTCAATGCTCTAAGGCATCCCTCCATCTGCACTTTTGCTAATCAGTCCAGCTTCAGCAACCTTTCTTCTTCGGCCTGCGCCTTCTTTGGTTCAGCAGGGAAGTATTTTATACCCACCAGATCGCCAACCCTGCCGATGACCTGAAAGAACCAAACCCCAAGACAATGTCAAGGCACAAACTCTCACATTGCAACCAATATTGCAACTGTGTTACAAGGATGCTGCATATACTTGGAAAAACATGAAGCCAGGGAATGGATGTCCAATGGAACAAGTTATACATGAATTTACCTCCAAGGCTTTGATCAAGTCTTCCCTTGTATGAGATGCGGATATGCATATACGTGCCCTTGCCAACAGTAGCGGGGTTGCTGGAAATGCTACTGTCACAACAGCTACCTGTAACAGCACCATTCATTAAGGGTAATTTAAGTTGACTTAGGAGCAACAGAAAACTATAACCATAGCGGACAACTGTGGGGGCACTATGGACTCACATTCTGCTTGAGGCACTCCCGTGAAAAGGCAGGAATTTTGGCTGGGTTGTAAAGCATAATTGGCATTACTGGAGAGTCATTATCCCCCAAAACCTCAAAACCCATTTTTTGTAGTTCTGACCTGAAAAAGTTGCTATTCTCCCGTATACGTGCAAGTTTTTGGGCACCTACAAGGAAACCAAAACTCTTTCAGTCATCGTCTATAGAGAAGAAGCATTAACGGATAAAGACATTTGCAGAATATCTACTAAAAACAAGACATACCAAAGAAAACACAAGAAAACAAAAACAAAGAGAAATTGAGGAGGCAGAAACAAGTATCTATCAGCACCTCTATTGGAACCATCCTCTCCAAGAAGGACCTTTATGGCGCATATTATTTGTTGGGCAGCTGGTGGTGATATTGAAGTTGCATAAAGATGAGCAGGGCAAGTGTACTTCAAGTATTGTATAAGCTCCTGGACATAACAGCATTGACCACGTTAAATTCAATAAGGAGCTCATGGTATCATTTAAATAACTCTGCAAAGACACACCATGTGAATAAAAGGATGGCATAACTGAGGCATGTCAAAGTGTTTGTTATGAAGAGAATATAAAAACTCAATACATGGTAATTTGTCTAACAGCTAAGAATCAAATAAACCAATGTATCATGCAACGGAGAAAGCCTTCTCCCAAAATCAACAAATGCTTTTCAGCTAAGAGTTAAAAAGTGTGTTCAGTCAGGTTGATCATCCAGAAATACCACTTAAGTAAAGATACCGACAGCCAGCCAGCCAGTCATATAGATTATGCAGAACTGAGTCTCTCCTATTTCAATGAATGCCTTTTCCACATTGAGAGGCTGGCTAGATCACACCACACACTGATCAACAAATTCAAAGTATAAGGAAAGTTCAAAAAACAAACCTTAGATCCTGCAATATAGCCACCACATGATCCAAATGATTTGGTAAATGTTCCCATCATGATATCTACATCAGCTGTATTGACACCTAAGAGCTCACAAACACCTCTTCCAGTTTTCCCTACCGCTCCAATGCTGTGGGCCTCATCCAAATATGTATATGCCTAAGACAAGAAAGGAAGTAGCAGAGAATAAATACATAATATCCAAACTGCTCAGCAATAGTTTAGAAAGGTATTTCCCAATTAATTAGAAAAGTAATACATTCCGTTAAAGAATGCTTCACAGAATGTTGATTTTATTCTCTGTTGTGACGAATGACCGTTAATATGCTTGTGTCTCTAAGTTTTAGACAAACCCATAAGAAAATATACTGTGAAAAATGAAAGTATACTGCATAGAACTAGGAGACCAAACAACATATATTGAAGTGAAAGTTACCAAGGTGCAACCTTATATTTTTTGCAGATTGCTATAATCTCAGGAAGTTTGCAAAGCTCCCCTTCCATGCTGTATATCCCCTCCACAATGACAATTATCTTCTTCCAGGGTCTGCGGGTCCTAGGCTGACCCTCTGCGATTTTTTCTCTCAAAACTTCCTCTAAATGAGCAGGAGCTGTAAATAAAGCAACAAGTAGATATAAGGGTGCAACCTCCAACCTGAGCTTCACGTTTTTCTTTTAATCTTAATGAGTAAAACTCTATTCATGTTATCATCAACATCTCACAGAGAGAAGCAACATATTGGAAATGCGTATCTGATTAACAGCCCTTTCATTCGAGTAATTAAATAAATCCATAACACGGATTAGGAAAACGGGCAAATAACCTAAAAACCTGTCATTTACTTGCAAAACTCCTGCCTAACCCCACAGTCTTTGCAATTAAATATAAACTAACACTTCCTCAGTGTGCTCTCTTTGTATAAAAATATACGCCATCATTTAAAACCTGAAATGTAGAATTTATGCCAAGAACAAATCCTCAGCATCCACGCTATACAATATAGTAACTAATGAACTTACTATTGTGTTGGAAAACACAAACTCTAGCTCCAGATCCTCTTGCGCCATTAACAATGGAGTTGTGGTTCAAAGAATCACTAACAATCAAGCCTCCCTGTAAAGTCAAATGGCACATATTCAGATAAGGAATGTAAACACAAAATTAGAAGTCATACATTTGAGAAAAGATGCAAACCTTCCCCATCAGAACAGGAAGGATAGCAGAGTTTGTGACATAACCCATTCCGAAAACTACAGCAGCAGGTTTCCCAACAAAATTTGCAACACACTCTTCCAGCTCATTATGCAAATCCGTGGTGCCTGGTGATAGAAGCGTATCGTGGTAAATTCATTTAGAAAAATAGCTCAAACAAATTTTCCTTGCAAAGTAGAATTAGTATACCGACCGCCGTCAACTCGGCTACTACATGTACTGGGAGAATATTTTTTCAACGTCTCAATAGCGCGAGGTGTGCAGTACTCATCAGATGCAGCAAAGCCAAGGTAATTGTAAGATCCCAAGTTAAGGCATCTACTGGTTTTTTTGGTTAGCCTGCATCAGCCGAGTTACACAATGAGAAAATAAATCAAGAAAACATAACAGAAGGCGCGAAATATACATGAAATTGCGGAATCGGAGGAAATTTGTAATCGTTACTTGAGTGTTTTGTTGTAGTCATTGGAGTAGCGTTCAACCACATCAAACCAAGCATCAGGAGCACTCGCAATAGGCCTATTGAAACAGTCCTGACCAGTTAAAAAATTAACCAGAATTATCAATAATTATGTTTGTGGGACTCCATGGAATTCATGCGTAATTGCAGGACCAGCTGCATCCATTTCATACAGTTGAAGAAATATAACACAATCAAATGAATAACAATATACCTGAATTCGAAGATAAAGCCGGCGAATATAGAAATCTTCAAGTCCTAAACAGATTGGAGCATAACCCTGATTTTTGCAACAAAACAATGCCTTTTTAAACATAAAATTACAGGAAAAACTAAACAATAGAAACAAAATTATGTACAATGATTACGGAACCTGCAAATTGCTAGCACTCCACCAGTCGATGATTTTGCGGAAGAAATCTCTGACTTGGCCGAAAACGAAGAGCAATCCATAGCTGAAGTACGTGGTTAACGCGGTTAAATAAGGGATAGCAATCATTTTTGCGGTGGGACGATTGTATGATCCGAAAGCTACGTCGTCTAAGCTGTTTGAAGCTTGGCGACGAGAACTGGATCGGGGAATCTGGGAGTTTCGGAGCTGTGAGTAGGAGTTTCTGAGGGTACGTAGTTCAGAGATGCAGCGTAGATCCGGTATTCGAGTCGGGTTGACCCGTTGGATGGGTCAGACTCGGATGGGGAAGAGGATGAGAGGAGATAGGAGGAAGGTGGTGGTGTATAGTCGTCCAATCCGTTTTTGGTGCCCCACTTTTTGGATTCAATTCAGTGACCGCGTTGGCGCTGCCCAAAATTTCCGAGCCAATATCAAATTGGGAATATTTTACGCTTACCAGGTCATTAGAAACGGCGAATAATTCCCACCAAAAACAAACAACGAATATTATTTTAGTGGGAAATAAAGTTGAATGCGTTACAACTTAAGAGGACGTAGAAATAGAATTTAAGATCATCTTCAAATGAGATATTAAATTTTAAATCTAAAATTTAAATTTGCAGATTTATTTGGCATTTTAGTATTTTTTTTAACTTTTGATTTCCAACTGATATGTTAAATTTTAAACAAAAAAATAATTCATATGTATTTTCTTTGCATTGGGAATGCAAAGAAACAAAACGGTAATGGTTTAAACCAATAAAAAGCAAGGTGCTATCAAATTTGGCAGCAAGGAGGAGAGATGTCAATCCATGTCATGCCACATCAGATTTAGCTTCTCGGTTGGAAAACATTAATGCTGTATTTTGTTACCATTATTTCTGATTTGGACATTTTGACATCTCATTTGGAGATGCTTAATAAAGTTTGAAATTTAGGTGTAGTTGATTAAGATTTTAAAATATTCTGAAATTATGGTGTAGTCAAATTATGATTTAATAGGATTTTGAAAATCCATCCAAATTCAGAGATAGTCAATTATGATTTAAAAAAAAAAATCCACACAAGTATAAGTGTAGTCAAAATCTCAAATATTTAGTAGGATTTTATTAGGTGAAGGATTTTGATGAATTTGAAAGAGGTGGTATAAATACCAAATGCCATCTAAAATCCAATCCTAACCCCTCTGATTTCATTTCACGACAGATGATATGAACAGGTGATTCCATCTATATGTCAAGCTACTGCCTTTTTCACCAATTCTCATGTCGAGCAGAAGAAAGTGTCCGACACAATTTGGCTTTTGATCTCTCTGCTCAGGACAACGCCATTCCTACTCTAGTTGATTTGATTCTCTGAGATGTCTCATGAATGATTTTTCACCCAAACCTTGAAAAATTTATTTTCAATTCTTCCAAACTTTGAATAATTTTTTTTTCGTGCGTTGTATGTTTCGAAAATGAACTTGTGGTTGTTGATTGAAACAAGAATCACAATTTATCTTTGTTTTGTGACTTTTTGCATTTTTAGTTCCGCTTTCCACTTTTGTGGGTACTATGCATATTTGGCCTCCAAGTTGTTTGGTTAAATGCCTCAAAGAAGTATATGGGAATCATATTGGGGGACTGCTGCAACCTGCAAAGGTTATAATAAAAGCACCTTTGAGTTAGGTCAGGTGATGCACTCAATTGCTTCAGTGATTGGTAATACTTTCTCCTTGTGTGTGATGCCCATGTAATTCATTTTGGTTTGTATATTGCATTATGTTGAATAAATAAGCAATACATAGGCAACTGGTTATACTTGAGGACAAGAAAAGCATTCATCAGTTGAGAAGATGATGATGATGAATTGCTGGACAACAATTCAATTGATGTTATTTTATGATTTCCTTGTAGCTTTTATATAGCAGTAGTTTGACTATGATTGTAAACTATATTTATAATTGAATAACCTTTGCTGAAACAGTTAGTAGACTCACTGATGAAGAATTGGAAATTGAGACGCATAGAATAAGTGAGACAAATTCATGATCTCTTCATCCAATTTCATCTCTTGTACTGCGTGGAAGTGCTCCGTTGGATCACAAGGACTTGTTTAGTCCAACTGAATATGTCAGTGCAAGGAGTCCAGTTGTTTATGGCAGTAGGAGCTGAAAAGGTTCATACTGCAGTAGGAAGTCTGGAAGTGTTCTGTTGGTGATTTAATCTTTGTTTTTCTTTCATAATGGTCGGTGAGTTCATTTTTAGCTCATATGGAAGCCAATTTGATGTTACATGGAACAATGACATCTAACGATATATTTGTGCATATAAGTTAACAGAGTATGAGCACAACGAGTGATTATGGATATTATAATTGATGTGGTTTAAATTTTTCAATAATATTATTCGTGCACTTATTTTTAGACAATATCGAAAAATTCCTTATGTATTTTAGAAAAATACTAAGTAACTTAAATAAATATAAATATGGCGCAATTTTCTAACAAAGAAAGCCCTAAAAAAGTAAGATTGAAACCGAGGGAAAATTCTCGATGCGGCAGGCGGCAGACCTCTCGTACGAATTGGCATCCCCTCGACTACTCTTTGTGGCGTTTCAAAACCCTAAACTTACCACCCAATACCAAGAGCTCCAATCTCTCTCCTTGTTAACCTCTCACTAAAGCTCAATCACCCATGGCTGAGACCAAGGACCAAGGCGAACTCACATTTCCCGCGAAGCGCAAACCCGATATCAGCTGCGGCGACCAGCCCGACTGCCCCAACAAAACCCAGAAGCTTGAAGTTCCCGATCACAGTCCGTTGGCTGCCGAACCTCAAACTCAAAACCCAGAAAATTTCCACAACAATTCCTCCGCTGGCGAAGAGAAAATCTGTAAGTTTGAAGCCAGTGCTGACCTCGAAGACGAAGACGAGGAGCAAGATTACGAAGCAGAAAACGACTGTGAAAAGTCTAACGGGAAGGCGGAGGTGAATCCCAAGGGGAAGGGCATTATGAGAGATGACAAGGGCAAAGGGAAACTGGTAGAAGAAGATGACGACGACAGCGACGATGATTCGAGCGACGGCGGAAGCGAATTCGAAGACGGAGACAGTGATTTGTCGGATGATCCTCTTGCGGAGGTCGATTTGGATAACATTCTTCCTTCGAGGACTCGAAGACGGCAGGTGCAGCCAGGGGTTTACATTGCTAATGACATTGGAAACGAAGAAGAAGATGACAGTGATGACAGCGATGATTGATTTGAGGAGGAAGGTCAGTAAAACCACCAAAATTAGCAGGCAAAAATTGACATTATGTTTTGCAAAATAGTATTAGTAGCAAGTGATTCGATGAGGTTATGCTAATTAGTTGCTCTATGCGAAAACATTGCAGCTAAGGCTGTGAATACTTTATGTAATTCAATCTAAGTATTTAGTCCTTATTGGATTCTATCATTCCGTCGGTATTATCCTTCTTCAAGTTCAGTTTTGAAGTTTGTGTGCATATGTCTATGCTTTTTTGTAACATGGCAGAGTAGTGGCTACAAGCTGTAATTTTAGAAATCATGTGGGAAAACTTGATCACAAACTTTTTGTTAGGAAGACAAAAGTTTTGAGAGCGCAAACATGCCGAACTTTTGAAACAAAGACCTCGTCACTTATTTTGGGAAAGGGAATGTTCTTCAGGTTGACTAGGCTAAGCATAAATGTATCCCCCTTTCTGTAGTTTTAGTACCATCTCCCTCAAGTCCCTGACCCCCTATGGGGATTTCCAGGTGGTTAGTCTTACTATTTGCACAGGCATCGTTAAGGTTTAAAGCTGGACTGTCTTCCTGAAGAGTTTGCCTTGGCTAAAAATACGAGGTCACTTCAAGGAGAAAAAGGGGAGAAGATTCAGTAACCCTTAGCTCTAGTTAAGGAAGTGATTTATCAATTAGCCTTTTGAAGAACATCACTTGCCTATGCCAAAGTTACAGTTCTGAGCTAGGTCACTAGGTATGATGCTATGTGGGATTCTGTGATGTGGTACAGGCCAAATCACATTGTAGTTCTGAAGTTATCGTCATACAAGTGGATAATCTGTCATAGGGTATCCGTCTATTATTATTGATTGCTCCTTTTTCCAATCGCATGGAAATACCATTACTTGGAATGGTCCAATGGAGAATGGAGGAATGATTTTGATGTGATCCTCACCTATAGCATTTTGTTTCGTTTAAATCTACTTAATTTGGCCGAATCTTAGTCTCTTTATATTGTCTGTGGATTATGATTTGCGTTGCCTATGTGGTCAGTCTGGATCTGGAAGACTTCAGTGTCGGTAAATATAAGCATTGGCTATACCTAATCTTCTTTGCATGTGAAAATTTTAGTACTTATCTGCAAGGCTGGTGATTGCTTTTTTAGTTTTCCAACCCCCAAATCATACTAGAGGTCAAGGATTATGTTTCTCCATTGTTTGCTACCCATTGTTGTTTGACTATATGAGGAATCGAGGATCAAGTTCTATTGTCCCCAATATGTGGTGCCTTAATGCATGTTTTCCGTTCTGTGTTGGTCGTATAAATGTTGCTCTATTTCTTCTCCTCTTGCCTTGGCTGACACAACATATGGGTAACCGGAGATGACTATGTCGTAGATTTTACTGGTTGTTATGCACGTATTTTGTGGAGTTGAGAGGTGCAAATTATATGGTCTATGCTGCCCCCCTTTGTCTATCTATGCAGTTGGTCTTTTCTTGTTTCTTGTTTCTTTTTCTTTCTTTTCCACTTTTCTTTTGGTCTATGATATCGAACTGAAATGATTTCCTTATTCCCATTTTCGTCTTCTTTTGCACTCCCCATTTTGTTTTGAGATTTTAAAAGCCTTTGGCATGTTCAATCTTGGAAGTTGGAAGCATCCTTACCCCCCCCCCCCCCTTGGGCGTTGGCCCATAAGTGGAGATCGTTTCACTCTGGTGGACCGATAACTGAAAAGGCATAACCATTTCACTCTATCAATCGAGCCTAATAAAATGACTTACATGGAATGGGTCATGGCCGTGTGTTTTCACGGTGCAAAAAAACACCCAACAGGGAACTTGTACTAGTGCTACGCACCATGTAGTGTGTTGCTTGTTTATAAAAGCTAAAAGCAAGTCTGAATCCCCATATTCAACACCACCACCACAAAGATCACATGCATCGCATTCCCTTCCCTTGGCATTGCATTGCATTGCATGCCTCCCATAGCCTTAGCCCTTGCCCTTGCCCTACCGAGGTTTTCCTAGGTTTGTCAATTCTAATTGTTCTTCTTCCTTCGTCTTCCAAAAGGGAAAGGGAAGATGACGTCATCGTCATCATTAACATCAACCTAGCTAGCTATTAGCTAACAGTAACAAAAGTTATGTGGTCCTTTAATTTCCCGGTTTCTCTCTCTCTCACTCTTGTTTATACAGATACCATGTAGTTTTGTCCGGGAGACCACGACCACGACAACGAGGACGACCATGACCACCCAT